AAATTAAGTGGTCCTTAACGTTTTTTTGAGTAGTGTATTTACAACACACCACTTCGCTTCACCCAAGAGCGACGCTCTACACGACGCGACGGCACGACGGCTTCTTTGCATCATGACGTCATGTCGTGTGGTTTCCTTTTGCCCTTACTGTTGTACACACTTGATGTGTCGCGTTGAGTGTCGCGTCGTACCGTCGCCTGTCACGTCGTGCAGCTACTGTGTGGTCCTGTCTTGCATGTTTCTACCTCAACCCCATGCGTTCCTTTTGCTTGCGTTTTATTTATTTTTCGGTTTTGGGGTTTTTTTTCGATGTCTGAATGGCCAGAACATCCCTGCAAAGTCGACAAGAGTTCTTGTCTTCTCTGACAACATGCAACCCCATCAAGTCATTAGACCCCTGTAAGAAAACGCCGAAGTTAATTACATGTACTGTACGAGCAAGTAAGATGATGTGCTTGCGTGCTGTCGTTCCACACTCGTGAAAGACATGAAAGCTGTTCGCAGTAACCGTATGAACCTATTTCAAGGCACGGACTAAATGAAACAAACAACATTTTTACAGGAGCGTCAAAATCTTATTTCAAATGGCTCAAACATACTTTTCATTGACATAAAAAGAATCAAGATCTTCCAAGTACAGTGTGGCAAGCACAATTATTATAAATAATGGTTTTTCTTTTGTATCATTACTTTTACTGCATTTTTGTCTTGTTCATGGCTAATAAAATGCTAATGCTAACAAAATAAACAGTACTTTCAAACACATTATAACGATTTGATAGACTTCACATGACAGTCGAGACAAAGGGAGTTAATTTGCCTTTTCTACTGGGTTTTTAATTTTGATGAGTCTCCTGCCTCGTAGATAAATTATCAATGTCCGGAATGTCACGTCATGTTGTGAAAATAACCTTACTGAATTACCAGGCACCAAATTACAACAGCCTGAAACTACTAGTCTTTAGTAATCGCTATCTTCCTTGTTATGTGACGTCACGCACCTTCAGCGGCTGCGAGGGTGCCCTCCTCCTCAGGGCGTGGTGACAGACGGCACGTATCGGAAAGTCACTGAGCGGCAAGGGAGGAGTCTGTTGGGATGGAAGTATACCGTCCCCCAAGAAAGTTTGATGATCTCTGGTCTTCGTTGTGAGGACGCTTAGTCTGATTGGCCCAAAGCTTAGTGACACAACCTGGACAGCAATGACTTGAGATAACTCCGTGTGGACACATGACTTATATACAACAATTAAAATGGCTGGTTTATTCTTCAACCAATACATCAGTAGAGGGCGCTATTGAAGGAGCGACTGTGGCTATACGTGACTGTACTTTGCCCTGCGCAGCGAACACCACAATTAACTGTGGGCATCCAGTGCAAAATCAGGGACTTGAGCAAGTCTACCGGGCTATTGGGGACCGCGCTACACGAAACCAGTGGCGTAGCCAGGGGGGGAGGGCTGGGGAACCCCCTCCCCCCATTCCCGGTGCCCCCAGGTGCCCCCCCCCCAAAAAAAAACCCCCAAAAAACAAAAAAACGGAGGAATGATATTGAACAAAAACTTGGCCCCAAAACCAAACCACTCAAAGCTGGTGCCCCCATAAGATGCTGGTGCCCCTTTGTGCCTACCCCCACCAGTAAAATCCTAGCTACGCCACTGCACGAAACCACGTCACGAGATAGCAGTCCGCCCTTATATCGACCGCAAGCTCCTATCAGGAATTTCGCACCACCAATTAGCCCCTCAACTGACCGAGCTCTTAACGACACACGCACTACTCGCGACTTAAGCACAGTCACGCTGGGCTAGGTGACTTTACCTTAACCTTTTCACGGAGATTCTCCATCCTTACCTTAGAATCAGCTCTTGAGCAGGTACGTATGTTCATGCCCCGTAGAGACAACGGCTATAACAAGCGCGCATGCGCACTTTATTTTCAAGCAGACTGAGGTTTTCCGTGCGAGCAGACGACGTTATAGCGTGGAAGTTTTCAACGACTGACATCGTGCAGAAGCGTAAATAAATTTCGGGAGAATCTAAACACAACACCACGGACAACACACATCTTCCCTCCACTCATAAGATTTTAAAGTCACGGTAAATCTCAGAACAGTATAAAAAAGTGGATTTTACAGACCCTTTCTGCCGACGAAAATAATCAAAATTGCAAAACGTTGCACTAATTTCATCATTTATTAATAGAAAAGAAGTTTTCTGAGACAAAAAATCTAGCACCAATTTACAAATTCACCCTAAATGAATAAATTTCATACATTTATTTTGAACTCGCCGTTTAAAATTTACAATAATCAGGTCAATCTGAATCAACCAACATCGTATCGATCCAACTGCGCACGAAAATGCAAAGCCGTTTTGCATCCATTTTATCAACAAAATAGTATATCCAACACTAGGATTATCATTTTCTGTTAGATTGTACCAATTTCGTCAGTAGTGATACCATTTCATAAGGTACAATCATTGGTAATTAATGATTTCGCAATTTGTCCCAAAATGGTTTACATACCCCTTCCCTGGCAATTGTAGCTAGGCATGTGTAAGAAGCAACATGCATCAAAGGTATCAATGGAAAGCCTATTACAATTTGTAAGACAAAACAGGGATAATAGAAATTGGTTCAAAGCTTTATCGTGCATATTTTGTATTTGTGGCTGCCTTTATTTGGGATATAATTATATAATTATTACAGAACAGGAAAGAGTCATGCGATTTATTTTCTGATTGACTCCTTTGACTTGAATTTCGCAATGTACATTTGATTCAAACCTTACCAGAATAATGGTTAACTAAATTATTTGCCAGATACCTTTGACCAATTATTTCTTTTCATGCCTCTGTATATTACATCAGGTCTACTTCGAAGAGATCAGAGTTTGCTGTGTCTTAGGCACATGACAGCATAATGGTCATGTTTTTCATTCGGCATTTCGTGCTACAGTGTCAATATGATTTCGTATTTGGTGTTGCTATAGCTTGTCAGATTGTCCAACATTTTGCAAATTCTTTTCCATTAATTGCACTGTCGGCCTGCCACATTAAATTTACTTGCCTTTATAATGTTGGCGTAGAAAGATGAAAGCCTTTACAAACCCAACAGCCTCAGACGATTGTTCTTTGCAGTTCAACTGAAATCTTGAAATTGTGCTGGGTGCACGCTACTGTATCAAGAGGCCATGGTGAGAAGCGAACTTTGCCATTATTTCCTCCATCTCAAATCCTAGCTTTTTCTTTTTAAAATCAATTTTCTCTTCTTCTACCCAGCCATAATGTTCACTGTTCTTTCCAGTGTTCATATATTTTAAAGATTCATTCGGAAGTGCATTTGGAAGTCTCGGCCTCGTTTCTGGACGACGGACTCAGAACATTTTGCATTCAAAGTACGACCAGAAACGGTTGTACAATTATTGACCAATTCGTAACCAACAAACGAACTGACACTCACCCGCAAGTAGGCGTCAGTTCGTGAAAACGGCGTCATCAACCATTTCGGTTTCATGACCTGACACCCTGTCGTGGGTGCATATATTTGAACTGTCGCAAAATTGACTGATTTTCGTTTTCACGAACTGACACCCAGGCTCGTAAAGACAATACAGCGCAGAAAAATGTTCTATAAAGTTTAATATGAATTTGATCCATCCAACTAGTTGTTGTATTGCAAAAAACTTAACGAAAAGTCGTTTTAACTGGTGAAATTAAGATCTGTGTTAGTTCGTGAGGACGGAAATGACTCGGTTCTCTAAAATGTGCACAAATGAAATCACCTCTCGCACTGACTAAGCATTAGTTCGTGGTGTCGGTGGCGAATTTTGATTCCCTTAAATTACTTATTTGCATATCGCTTTTATAATGGACCAATTAACATGAACTAAAGATGCACTAAAAAATACCATCGTTATCTCAGGTTGATAATTTAACAGTCAGTATGCGGTTAGAGCAAATGGGTCACCTATTCATTTCTTAAATTTCTATCAATCAAAGTTACTTTTCAGTTTGTTAGTCAGTTCATCGCCTTCATCAGAGAGCCAGGCTTTCGTTTGGTCCGATTGTTGTCTGGGAATGCTCATGTATGTCTTTGGTTCTTGTGTCAAATCATCAGCTGGGCATTCCTCACACATATCGCAGTCGTCAACTTGTTCGCTGTGTTTTGGTCGCGGCCAGAATATCTGCAGTATCCTGTAATTGAGGCAATGTTTTTAAATATGAATACCAAATATACTAAACTATATTTTAAAAATACCAAAAAATGATAGTATGAACGGGTGGTGCCATCCAGAGAAGGTCTAACCGTCTGTATTCGATGCACCCAATACATGCAGTTGTCGACAGATCAAAAAAGTCACACAATGTGGTCACAGTATGCTGATGGACTCCTTTTCTGACAATTGTGTATGATTTGTGTCTCTCTAAGGGTAGCATCTGGCATAATATTGGAATCATTATAATCTCTTCATCAATGTCATACGCTATTGCCTGAATGGTGGTTCGTGCGCGATGTCATATTTTGAGAGAGTGCCTATCTCGGCAGGATTTTATTTGAAACAGCACAGCAGAGCAAATAATTTTCAAATTAAGTCATTCAAACCCCACCTTTTGGGCTCTGATACAGTTACTTTTTCTAGTAAAGATGCCTGTTTGCTTTTAGGCTAATCAGTTTTCCACATGTGTAAGACTCATATCATTCTCGGCAGAAAACTGCGACTGAATGCAAATGTTGCTTCAATTTTTCATAATTTTGGCACATGACATTAACCAAAGAACAACCTTTTTCTCAGAAATACTTCGATTAAATTCTTCAATTCTGAATCCAAAACGGATGTTAAATATTTCCATACACTAGAGAGTAGTGCAACGTTCTTCTAAAAGCGTGTCTGAGAAAAAAAGTCACCGCTTAGATCCTTTGGTTTCCTTTCCTTACTGTGAATTCACCGGTAACTTAATATATCAAGAAAAGGCAAATAGCTACTTACAGTACAATACCGTTCGGGATGAAGGCCAGGCCAGAAAACACGAAGAAAACTGCAGGTGGCAGGTAGGACACTGTGGCAGCGTAGACGCTTGGTGCAATCAATGAAGCCGCAAACCCTGCTAGGTTGTCAGCGCAAGCTACAATGGCAAAGGCCGCACCTGGGGACAAGAGGAAACGGTCGGGCAGGATTTATACACCACTCTTTCTTCAGTGCCACCAGGGGCAGATTTCACCCCCACAAAATTTAAACAAATAAATAAATGAAAAAGAAGAAAAAGGTGGGAGAGAAGAAAAGGGGGGACCATACTGCCTCAAGTTGCATCTCAGATGCCTAGAATACAACATGGCTCCGTATCCCACGCCGTAGGGGCATTTCACTATTGCTACTTTAGTCCCCCCCTTAGAAAAATAATTGATCCGCCCCTGGTCACAGTGCTACCTTTCACTTATACCAGCTGCCGTAAACTATCAACGGCAATGCAGTACGAAGGCTATAGAATGATTCGCAACATTATTTAAAATTCCACGCAGCTGTCAAGACGTGAACTACCATAAAGTCAAAATGAAGCAAAACCTTTCGACCGGAGTCGATATTTCTGCTAACTTTTCCCCCTCCCTATTCGAAGAGTAGCCCATATGAGAATGGTTTACACATCTGACATACCACTACGTTATAAGTTGGAGGAGTCGTAAGCCCCGCCTGCAAACCTCTGCCGGCGCACGTGCCCATTACACGACTGTCTTGGATACACTCCTATGGGTACCGGTTATGATTCTTGAGAGGAACTCAAACTTATCCTGTTGAAATTTCGTACTTTTCTTCTCCTTAAAATATCCTCTAGAGCCCCGATTATATCCTTCATTCACGTTGGTACTCACCGATGTCGTTTGGATTTACAATTTTTGACAGGACTGATCTTGCAACTGGAAATGCCATTCCCCGTAAAGTGCCTAAACCACTCGCTGAAAGAGAAAATAATGAAAAAGAAATGAAACTGATTTCCAAAAATGTTAGGAAATCTCCTAAACTTAGACTTACAGTGCTGTAAGTGAGGTTTGATGTGGATACGACCTACCCATGATGTGGAACGGGAGAGATTTCAGGCGCACATAAACCCAAAGACTTTGTATCCGTTCGTTTACATATATCGCTACACACATACAGGAAGGCATGCTGATGAGCGCAGCCTCACCTGACCTCACGAATGACATCCAGATCGTAAGATAGCCCACCTTCGGAAAATGCCAAACTGGTGGAAAGTCTACTATCGGTTTTACGGTTTCTAATTTAATGATGAGCCACAATAGTACACAATCACAATTGTGTTCACATTGTGAAATCTCTTCCCGCACTTAAGTGACATTACGTTCGCTGTTAACAATCTCGAGACCGCGAAAGGAGGGCTGTGACTTGAAATTGTACGTTTCTCCTACGAGCAAAGTGAACCAAAGTAACTAAGCCTATCATGAGTTGGGCCTCGTTTCGAGTCATTGATTCGAACTTTGACCCTTTGTAGCCTTGTTACGTTGACCCAGTCCACACGCATATTATTTTAGTCGTGTAGCTGAGGTTGGATTGGGGCTTTTAGGACCCCCTTGCCCCTCCCATGGAGAAAACCGCCACTAGCTGGTAGTTTCGTCGACATGACCTTTGTGCTAAGTTATCTATGGAACTGTTGCAGGAATTCATCAAAGTTGCCGACACGTTGGTCACGTCGGTGCGAGAGACCTAGTTCATACATATTTATTTCACACTGTTATCGTATTTTGACATACTGGTCATGTATGCCCCTGGACGTGTACCACGCAAGGTACGAAGGGCAATTCTGTTGTGTCCACTATTCTAAGTCTACCCTTGGCAGTACCGCAGCCAAGGCCTTAGCGGACGTAGAGTTGCAGATGGACATTTTAAAAGCAAAATCGCAATAACAATGGAGTCGAATCGGGATGATAAGGGAGCGGAAGGGAAAGATAGAAAGGGTAGCGGAGAACAAAAAAATCGATGGGAAAACAAAACCTAACAACGTGGCTGCTCCTATAGCGGGCGACAGTAGCTATTTTCATTCTCTGGGATGGTCTATACGGAGCCCCGTAGGAGAATAAGCCCCTCCACCATTCCAGGATATTCTGTCTTCCGTGAGAAAAAAATGTGACAGGGTCTTTAAATCGATGAAGTAAAAGGAGCATAGAATAACGTGAAGGCAATCCCAGCCAAAACCCTCGACGAATGGTGTACCTAGTTTGAGTCCAACTAGCACATTATGACAGTGACATTGTATTTTCCTGCAAATTTCCGTACCCGAAACTTACACAGTCAACATTTTTTTAGGGAGGCACTGATGAAATTCTGATTAAAAAAACCTAAACCAACGGGAGGCGTAACATTTTTTAATATTGTTTGGTCGATAATAGCCGCATCCTATCCCTATTCCAAATAGTTCTTCTAGGAGTTCTTTCACCTTGTTATTGCAAAAATTCCACACGATGGTCCTATGAGTCATCCCCTCTTTCAAGTTACGATGGGGGATCTATAGTTACAAATTCCAGCACCCGGAATTTACCCCCTTATTTGCTGACTTACCCACGAAGACTAACACAGTTGTTCTTGACACACCCATGACAAGGTTGGACGCAAGAAAACTCAGGCAACTGATGTGCATGATGAAATACTCCCCCAAGCAGAAAGAAAACACTTTGGTACCGGCCACCATCCCTGCATGAAAGCAAATGATGCCTTTGTATTCCTCTTTAATCTGCAGAGACAGGCTTACTTTTGGGGGAAAATAACGCATACAATGGAGAGCATGGGGTTGGGCCAAGTCTAGCAAGAGCAAAACACACGTGCAGGAAGGTATGTGAGAGAAGCCATACACCCACTGGACCTGGTGTGTCATCTTTATTGCTCCGTAAGACTACCGCAGCATCCAGCTGTGAAGTATAAACGCAGAGTATCCCAAACCATACAGCATATCGCTCACATGCAGTCCGGCAAAAAGTTAGCGTTTTGGCACCCCCCCCAAAAAAATAAGACCAAAGTACTAGACAGTACAACAAACCTATCTCTGTAGGCCTACATGTAGCTTGAATTGGTTTGAATTGGCACACCTTACATGAGGTCCAGGACATGCAATTGTCCCCCCCCCCAGGACGAGCCACTGCTCGTGCATTCGTCATGTTACACAATGACAACAGTATGACTCAGCATCTTCGCTGTCCGTCGTTCAATTTATACAGTGGTAAATAAAGTTCTCAGGAAACACTGACTTACCCAAAGAGCCGACAACGAAAACAAATGATGCCACCAATCCCGCAGTGACAGCAGACCAGCAGAACGGTTGGGCTGTACCGTACAAAATAAAGATGGACGTGACTCCGTGGACATTCAGCGTGATAAAGAAGAGAAAGAGGGTTAAGAGGAGAGTCTGCCACCGCCGACCGTCCTCGGTGAACTTGAAAATTGCGACCACACTCCGACCAGCTTCTTTGAGCCCCTTGCGATTCTCGGGGATGTTGTCACGGTCCACGGTTTCAATCAGAGCGCTGGGGATAGCAATATATATCAAGCACAAAACATTGAACCCCAGTGCCAATGCTAGTGGTGGGAAGGGGCCGATATCTCGCATCAGAAAACCAGCACCAACTTCGACACAACCGCCGATGAAAAGCATTAGCATTTCCACCACCGCTATGCGCATGGTTCTCTGTTTCTCGGTCGTAATGTCACTGATATAGGAGAGGCAGCCAGCGAACAGCAACCCAAAGCTCCCACCCATTCCTTGCAGAATGTCACCAGCAAAGAGAACCGGTAGTGGGAGGTGGTAGCAGACCGTCAGGATGTACACAATTTCTTGGCAGATGTAACCGACGAGTGGGATTACCATACACATCTTCCTACCGAGTCGGTCGCTCAATGCGCCGAGGATAACCGAGCTGACTATCATGGGTATATTCGCAGCCGTTGATAAGTACAGAATCCAAAGGGAAGCCTCCGCCTGGACGTCATCCTCCACCATTCCGCCATCACTGGCGTTTGCTTGGCACTTGGAGTACTCATCTTGTTCGGTGATGTTGAACATCGACTCACCGAGTCGCTCCTTCAAGTAGAAAGGTCGGATCAAACTGGTAGAAATGACCCCAACTGTGCCCAGCACAATGATAGGTTCCACAGTAACCCATCGGCGGCGGGCCCGCTCGAGACTGGATGTCGTCTTCGCCGGTAAGATAGGAGTTCGTTCAGTCTTGCTGTCCTCCATTGCTTAGCCTGAATAACAATAATGTGAATATTTGCTTATACTGCAAACTGGTTGGAGGACTGGACTACATGACGCTAGTAAGCCTATTTCATAAATCATGCGCAGTGCAAGTATGTGCCAGATTGGAATTAAGGCTCCTCAAATGCGCAAAGTATGCATAAGAAAGGGAGTATGATTAGGGAAATTTCAAATTCATATCACTTGGTTGAGGGTTTCCTTGTTGACACCGTGATGCAAGTACATGTACTTGTAATATGAAATTCGCAAAAGTGGTGGTCGTAAGCCCATTTGTTGGCCTTGTCCCCTTGTTGTCAGCAGAGGTACAAGGTCGGACCAGGGAGGGCGGAGGAGGGTCGTCCTCCAAAATAAGCAGCAATTTATTTTGGAAAGAAAATGGGAGATATCTGATTTATTAGTCCATTTCATTTTCCTACCTTTCAAAAGCGTGTGAAATGCCTCATGTAGCCTCAGCCCGCAGAGAGGCCAAAATAAATTAAGATAACATAAAAAATCTATTTTTTTGTGTACCCTAAAAAAAAAATGTTTGCCCTCATCCCCCTCCAAGAAAAAGGGGGGTGTTGGTTCTGGACCCTTCCTTTTCTGCATCAGTTTCGATGTATTTTTAAGAGGAACAACAAGCACCTGTATGCTAGTATTCCCTACGTTTAAAATAGCATTTTAACTTGAAGATAGGCCTAATTGTGGTTACAAATCTTACTTTGAACGAAAAACCCAGGGCTTCTTCACTACAGCATCAAACGTTGAAATTTCCTCGATCTTTTGCTTCCATTACATCTTTCACGTAATGAGAACTTGCACGTAAACCGTGCAGGCTGTGCATGGAACTGTCAGGTTGCACTGCATGAGGAAGATTGTCATTCGAGGTACACTGATCACGAGCATAAAGTCCAAGTAGGGGTCTATATTTGGCTTCACATTTAAAAGATAAGCCCTACCCAAACACAATAACCGATCAAGTTACGGGAAACCCTTTGAATCACGTATCACAAGGACGTGCTCTTTTTTTTCTTTCATCGCACTGAAGTTCACAAGTTGGCTTTGGACCCCAATTAATAAAAGAGATACTTCACACAGGCATTTCTCAGCCCCCCCCCTAAAAAAATTGTCAAAGGTGAATTTATCGTCACTTTGATATCACACAAACGTTGAAACGAGGTGACATCAACTTCTGTCGCATATCTTTACTTTACCTTGAGTAACCACCTCTAAATCTGGACAGTTTACCTGTACTGATTTAATATAAATAATAAAGTAATAGTTAAATTGTTCAATGTCAAATCATCCCCTGAAATAATATTTCCTGTAATAATAAAACAATTAAACAACTGACAATTCCATCTGCCTAGAAACGGTACGTATTCAATAGGGTAAGCAACACTATACTTGAAGATGTTATGCCAGTAGAAAAAAATTGAGGCAGCATTTGTAACGACATGTCTATTTGGTTGCAAAGATAACAAAGAAAATGTGATACTATTCCTTCACGTTCGATAGTTACTGAGTAACATGGTGACGGCAGTTGTTTAGTTGTTATTATAATGAACGTGTACCGTAAAGCCTCAAGTGTGTTTACGTTCTAAACATTATAAGCCCAGCACTTTTTGCATTATTTACATGTTTTTCAATAAAGTGTTTACAAAGACGTCTGGATGCAAGACCTCAGGGCCAGCAGCATCAACCTGAAAGACTGTTAAGGTTCTTGTAGCAAATCGAGCCAGCCGGAGGCAGGTCGTCAAGCAGGAACTCTGGTTGGCGAGCAACAGAGAGAAGCTATAGGTGGAAGAGGTGACGCAGACACCAGCGAGCTGATTCAGCCCCCATATGGACCCACGCACAGGCTTCATCAGCATCTGCAACAGAGCCTGCAGCACGAGGATCGGCTTGTTCAGTTATTGATCAGTTATATTTTTATTCTTTTTGTGAATTGGTCACGTGCCAGTAATCAACATGATTATAGTTAATTATTGGTACCAGTATTAACCTGTTGAGCCGCATCACAGCGTGACTCGGGACTGAAGGTTGTCTCCCGCTCATCAACGCCTTACAAAGGCTACTTGCAAGAAGCAGTCCTTATTGCGATCCCTTTGACGTCCTATCTATGATAAATCTGGTAAAACAGATATTTTAAAAGAAGACGATATTATTACAGAATCAATTGGGCTAGTTGTTTTGCTTTTTCCCAGAGTTGTAGACTCGAGTCACTTGACTTGGACTCGAGTTTGACTCTAGTCTCTATTTTTGTGACTCGTGACTTGACTTGTAACTATCAGCAAAAAATGACTTGTGCATAAAATGCCGCGTTTAGGCGGTTGTAGCATGCCTTCAAGATACGCTAATTGATAATACAATGCTTCTGGCTAGCGCTCCCGACCAGAGATATTGACAAATGGGAAGCGCCACTAACATAGCGCTGGGCGGCTCAGTTGGGAGAGCACTGGTACGGTATTCCAAAGGCCGCAGGTTCAAATCCCGCTCCAGTCAATTTATTTGTTCATCTTTATAATCATAATATTTATTTTATTTATTTTGATATTCAACAGCGGAGATACGCCACTTACAGGTATCATGAAAAACAAAACAAAAAACAACTAATAATAAAAACTAACTTACAAGGGACAAATCCAAATTACATGTAAATATAAATATATAATTGGAAAAAAATAAACTTGAGTAAATACTTACATTTAAATTAATTCAGTGTAAAGCTGACTAAACCTGTGGCAGTTTACATGTTCATAGTTGAGCTGTTCGTGCGAAGGACTTCTGTAAATCTCTGTACGGAACGAATTCAATGTACGCGCCCCCAAAACATCGCACGTTTTGTGGAGTCGGTTGTAGGCAATTGAAATCCCTTGAAACAAAGCCCTGCTTCGCTACATCCACCCGGCTCCGCGGAACATGCATGATGTGTTTGGGTGCAGATCTGGTTCGGCGTTCTGGAACATGGAGGGAAAGTGGGTTAGCGGTAGTTAAATTGTAATGGTTATGGATATGTTAGTGGAGCAAAAAACAATCATTAACTGTTCTTCTCTGGACAAGAGTTGGCAAATTAAACAAGCTACACAGTTCAGAGTAAGATAAAATAGGACCCTATAGACCAATCTAGTGACAAGAATCAGGAGCCATTACTGCGGTGTCCTCACGCGAGTGAACAGAGGGTCGCACATTTAATGCCTCCTCATCAGCCAATGGGAGTGCACTGCTAACCAAAATCACGTGCTTGTCAAGCCTAGGAATGTGCGCCTGAGTGACGGGGACACCGCAGTAATGGCGTCATCGAATCGGTCAATATATGAACGTTAAATGACGCCGGGAAGAATGCTTCTACCGAAGCACGCATCACCTGTGATGGCTGTTCGTCATTTAACTGGCTCTGCCAAATTGATAGGTTTGTTAAATGGCTTGGGTCATTGTGTGTCCAACTCTGTAACACTGGGGCACGACACAGCATTGGCAAAGAGACAGCTTGCCCTAGGAGCAAATATCCTGCCAGCTGGGAGCACATTTTCCTGTTCTACTGTCGTGTGGGACAACAATAACTTTGGTGAGGAGACGATTTCGGACAAGGGGATCACCCATAATACAAATGGAATTCTCCTTCAGTGGCCTTCCAGCACCTCATCACATACCATCCAACCATCTCAGTCAGTTCCTATAGCCAGATCTGGAGAAAGGTCCATGCAGCCGCTTCCTCCACATATTCAGAAGTACATTGGCAGTAAACGTACAGGTCCCAAACCATATGGAGGAGACATTTGTCTGGCAGAAGAACATCACCGCCCTGTTCAGATTCGTCCTAGGGGGTTAATCTGGCATTACGTTTCATGAAACTTTCGGGACTGACTGAAAAGCTCTTCCCAGGGTGGACTGGCTGCAACACCTTGCTGCAAACAGAGATACCAAGGCTTACTACTGTTGAATATCTTCCCATTGTTGATGCAAGCCCAACAGAGTACAACAGACTTTACCACCGTGAACAGAAGCCTCGAGATAGCAGACGCACTCAGTAAACAGGAGATTGTTGTGGTGTCTGATCAGGCTATTTACGCCAGAGCCCAACAAATCTGATGGAGCAATGATATATTAAAGCAGCGACTAGTTGTCCGTCTTGAGGCATTCCACACAACGCTAGCAATGCTAGCTTTCATCGGAAAACGGTTTAGAGATGCCGGTCTGGAAAACATTGTGATCGAGTCAAGGATTGTTGCTCAGGGTTCTATGAATGATGCCATGAATGGTCATCACTGTAACAGGAGTGTCCGGATGCATAAATGTGTGGCTGAAGCGATGGATCGGATCCGGTGGCTGAGTTTCAGGGGTTCACTTGGATTCACTTTGTGAATCCAGGAAAGCCGAGATGGAGGACACAATCTTCAAGTTGTATACATCATTCCCTGATCCATCCTTCACAGAATTTGTCATGTTGGATCAGCATGAGTCACTGACAACAATGTTCAACAGTTTCATTGATGATCAATCAAAAAAGAGTCCATCTTTTCATTTGTGGTCGTCATACATTGAGATGGTGGAGCTTTGAACAGGTTGCTCATCTAGCATCTGGTCTTGTTGCATCACAGGAGGTCACTGCAGAGTACCTCAATGCGTGATGTTGCACTTACTACTTACTGCAAAAAACGTCTTCAGGGAGACAAGGGCATGTTTTCTACCATGAAGAAAATGAAGACCAAGATCTTTTGATCAATGAACAAGGTAGTCCACTCAAAGGAAAAGGGCTAAGAAATGGCACTGCAAGCTGACAGTAATCTCTTCCAACGATTACTCATAATTGCAAACGTTCATAAACTAGACATTCGTAAAATGCTAACGTACAATTTGGGTCCACTTCCTCTATCGCTTTCACATTAAGATGGTTCAGTGAACAAGACGATTAAGTTATCCTTACTTCATCACATTGAGTCACAACTTCAGCCACCTTCTGTGGTTGAGATTCCTTTGGGGAGTATCTGGATCATTGACGCTATGGCAATGCTACAAGAGCTTCCTCAGAATAGTATCCCCTTAACATTTGGCCTACTTGCTGACTACATCTTGAAGCAACTAGTTGACCTTGCACGGAGTATGAGAAGCACAACCATTCACTTTGTTGTTGATACCTACAGGGCTGTTAACATTAAGAATGCAGAAAGAGGCAGAAGGGGTGCTCGTGGCGGCTTACTAACAAAGATCTTTGGTGAAGAGCAGCAGGTTCCGAAGCAGTGGAAACAGTTTGTTGCATGTGGAGTCAACAAAACTGAGCTGATTCAGTTCTTCTTCAGAACCTGGAGCAGAGACCAGCTGTCTGCTTCAGAAAGATTGAGATCTTTGTCACACATGATGGGGAGTGTCATAAGTTTGAAGATGACAATAGCCAGATGGTTGTTCAACCTGTTAATGAATTGAACTGCAACCGCGAAGAAGCAGACACAAGGCTAATTCTTCTCTGCGAGTATGCTGCGGTACATCAGCCCTCTACATCATCTGATTCTGGTTCTTTTCCGGTTATCACCAAGAGTCCAGATACAGATGTCTTCATCAGAGGTGTAACAAAGGCAAAGGACATTGGTACAGAGTTACTTTTCCACACAGGGAGAGGTCACAACAGAAGAACTCTCAGTTTGTCCAAGATTTCTTTGCACCTTGGTGAGAATATTTGCAATGCTTCGATCGCATTCCGTTGCTTTATAGGTTGCGACTCTATCAGCTTTATTATGGCATGTCCAAAGCCAAAACGTACAAGTTATTAACTGAAGACGAAGATTGCCAGGCCACATTCAAGCAGTTCGGGAGCACCTTTACTGCCAGTGACAACTTATTTACAGGTGTGGAGAAGTTTGCCGATTGTACAAGCAAGATTTCCTGAGTATGAATGAGGCAAGATACAACATGTTTGTTATGCTTACAAAATCAGGGGCTCGACTTCCACCCTCAAAGGACTCTCTTAGGAAACACACATTGAGAGCTAACTATCAAGCTGCTTTCCACTCTGGCTGTCTTGAGCAATTTCCAGATGTTCCAAGTCCACACGGGCATGGTTGGGAGTTGCAAAATGATGAGTTGAACATTCTCTGGGGAGATATGCCACCTGCTCCTAATAGTTTGCTTGAACTGACATATTGTGCATGTAAAAAGGCAAGTTGTGAGCAGCCATCTGGCACAGGCAAAGGGAGGTGTTCATGTCGTCAGTACAATATTTCTTGCACAGATCTGCGCAAATGCACTGATTGTAGGAATCAAACCACAGACGAAGATGTTGAAGATGACGAAAACGACGACAATGACAGTAATGACACAGACGCTGATAATGAGTAGACGGTACGCGTACTGTGACAGCTATCCCACCACTGAAAGGAGCTCTCAACTGAAATACATGTACAGGTACATTATACTTAACACCTGTAGCTAGGATAGGTTGCTAGTTGTATATCACATGTTGGGATTTGATAGAAAATAAATTACTGGTTATGTTTCAGAACATACTTTAAACATATACTTACCATTTTAACTTGCAATTGGACACACCATTTATTCCCTTTATTTACAGTTCCTTTATTATTTACAAAAGTGACAACATGTCACAGACAATCGACACTACAAGGAATTTGAAAGCAAAGTTAACTTTTATAAAAATGAGAGGAATATCTTTTATGCCATAAAAAGTCTCCGGTTTTTGGTCAGGGCGTGCATCGTTCTATTCATGCGCGTCAGCAAAATAAAAAAGTTTTAATTTGATCTAAGATGGTGCCCCAAACCTGCGAAACTTGTTAGTTTTGCCAGGATTTCTGATGCTGCCTACTTTCAGCGTGGTTTAGATGGTGATGATGAGGATGAGGATGATGAGGATGCTGATGATGATGATCCAACTTTTAGATCCAACTTGTGGCCAGAAACCGGAGTTGGGGGGGCCTTATCGATGAACATAAGTCATTATTGTAATGCCACGTGCAAATGAGCGGTTTTGTAAATATATGCTTTTCATAATGTCATTACCAGGGTACAAATAAAAAAATGTAACATGTAAAACCTCTAAAATGATTGTTACATGTATGCACTGAGCTAAATAATAACTGTGTACATGAACAATTTAAGCCTAACTCCCTAGGGGTGTGAAAAATTATATGAAACTTGGAGGATTCAGGACTGTAAGGTTTAATGGGTTAACAAAGCAACGTGTGTATTAGGATGCCCTCCCATTTGAAAACTATATTTTTTTAATGCTTTGCTGCCACTGGCTATGTTCATTTCAGTCATTTGAATACATACATGTGTACTTAGGATTTAGGGAGTGTATTAGGAAATGGGATTTTTGTCAGGGATACTGTATTCTTTTATTTAAGCATTGAACCGTAAGAGCATTTGTCTGTATGCGCTGGATATCTACATTTCGCAGGCATGTTCTATCAGTCACAGAACATTATTTTCCATGCAAACTTTTTAATTTTTAATAATTTACATGTTTCCAGCAACATTGTGTATTATTCTTGTTTGCAAGAATCAATGTAAATAACATGTAGATTTGTGTTGGTATTCTTTTTCTGAAACAAAATAAAATGTATATTTATATGGACATGACAAATTGAGTGGTTGAGTAAATGATTTATTCGTTGGTTGATTAAGACGACTCCACGGACTGGTCTATTGATTAGTTAATGAGCGTTTGATGGTTTATCAGTTGACACAAATGTTTTTCGCATTGCAAAATTCGTCTTTAAAGATTAATGATTCAATAATTATTAAATAAATTGATCAAAACACTGACAATCAGTCACTGATCGATGATTTGCTGATTTGATGAAGTAAAGAGATTTTACTTCCATCTGATCAGTTTACATGTACAATAAAATGTATATTATAAACATACAAAACTTTGAAAGTTTGAGGCATATATGTATTTCAACATTTAAAGGAAATGCTTTTTCCGGGTGTATTAGTCATATGCAGCAAGGTATGAGACGGAGAGAACCCCCCTTCCCTGCTTTGTGTTGGTCACAGTCTCGCAGGAATCTGGGGAATTCCTTGCTGACATCTTGGGGGGATGTGTTAAGTAACAATAGCCTGGAATGTGTATAGGGATTGGACATGTTGGGGGGGCACTCCTCGGTCTCATTTCTTGCTGGGTATAGTATTAGTATATCCAAATGGCCAGGTTACATTAAAAAAAATTGGTTACGTAAATTTTCACATTGCTGTCCTGCTTCCTTGTCCTTAGCATTTTTTAAAAAACATATGTCATTCATCACGGCATTCCAAATTTTTTCATAGGCTTTATACATAGTTCTCCATATTTGACCAACAGAGGGCGCTATTACAATTGCATTTTCTTTTGGATTAAGTAATTAGTGGGCAAATTATTCCCTTGAGTTGTACACCATTTATAAGTGCCCTTTCAACTACCTATTGGCAACATTTTAGCTAGATACCAGTGGGGGTTACAAAGGAAGAAATCTAGCAATATTTTCATTGCTTGGCCCACGGTCTGTAAGCACCAAATCAGTTTCCCTATATGATTTGTTTCATAATTGATAATTATTACAAGAAGAACCCATATTTAGATATTTGTTTAGCATCCTGTAAATTTATCCTGTAAATTTCCAGTTGGGGGGAGGAATGGGCCAACTTCGTGGTACTGAAACGAGTAGAGATATCATACATCATGACCGTACAGTGTGCGACTCGGCAAAAATTGAAAATACCTCTAACTTTTCTGTTATCTGCGCTCATCGCAAGTTCTTGGATACTGCCCTAGACGATAGAACGATACTTTTGTGAGTGCAAACTCAAAGCATGGCTCGAAATATTGGCGAGGTAAATACAATAAGGAAATTTTCCTGATCCAATATTTCAAATGAAAATCGCAACTCCTGTACTAAGGGCTTTAACGAGTTTGTCAGAGTTGCTCAACTTCCATCAAAGCATTTAATAGACAATCTTGGCAAAATAAAAGAAATGTTCGTCCGCGATCGGCCCTCGTAGTCAGGCTGCATATGGCCGTGTAAATAACGCCTTCAAATGCGCGCTAGCTAGCTAGCCCAAGCTGTGTCATTACGTACGTCGGGCCTCAGGGTTCGCGAAAGGGTTGAGTGCACCAGGTACTGTACCTACGATATATCGGTACATGTACGTGCACACGTGACTTTCGTGTAGGACTATTTGCCACTTGAAAGTCAGCATGAGCAGCCGAAGTTATTACAATCAAAAAAAGGTACTAGTACTGCTAAAAGTGTCTAATTGGCGTAGGTCCTATCCTGTGAGCTTTTGCTTCTCCAGCTCCCACAACTATGGTGTTCGTCGCGCGCCGCGACTGTAGCGCGCAATCGCAAATCATGCAAAAGGTCCTTAGGCTACAACTAGTTAAGCCTAAAGTACGATTCATGTAACTGTACATATACAACTGAAATGTAACGTTAGGCCCAGCCGCCTGATAAATGCGTGTAGTATGGTATGACGGGGTAGCAATCGTGTCATGCATGTACAAGCATGATAATGTACATGCAGGCCAAGTTGTGTGGATAATGGAGCATAGAGTAAAGAACATAGAGCTAGTAGTACCATGAACCGGTTGTGTTATGCCCGTCACTGATAACATGCACAGTGCCACATCATACAGTGGCTGGCTAAAACTGAAAGTATGGTGTCTGAGGGAACTTGATCATAATGTTAAACTTCTACAAAGTTTAGTCTGATCTCTGTGACCTCAGCTAAGTTGCTATTATCCTGCAACAAATAAAGACTGACATATCACCTGAGCTAACATAATGCTTGCTAGGCCTTTGCTATTTAAGGTAGCGTATCCCCAGAACTGTGGGGTCCGACGTCCATCGGACCCCACAGTTCTGGGGGTATATTAAAGGTACATTGTAAATTTGTATGTGTTGTGTGCGATATTACTTACTGTATAATGTAGCCCAGTCATGTGACCGCATTATACTAGGCATAATATACTAGTCAATCCTGTAGTCATAAATACCTGGGACAGTTTTTCTATTCCTATTGATTGGTTGGAACGTGTCATGTGATCGTGTATTCACATTTAATAGTTCATTGAGGGGGATTCTGTTGGACAACTTTTAAAAGGAATATACCATAAAATGGACAGGGGTGTTGGGAAAAATGAAAGTAAAGTTTTGGAACAAAATTGTTAGAAATCCATCATTTGTTGACTTCTTTTGACTCTTTTAATAAAATGTTTTTCATAAAAAGGTATGAATGGGAATAATGCTGGCTAGTCTTAAACTAACGTTTAAGACTGGCTCAGGAGAATGGACGAGACTAATTCCATGGCTCAGGGATTAGTCTTGTCCGTTCTCCTGAGCCGGTCTTAAACGCAACAGCCAAGCACATATTTATTCCCGTTAAGTTATTTATGCGCCTGTATGAAATCTGAATCTCATACATGTACCAGTCCAGCCAAAGCATTGGGCTTTTTACCTTTTTCCAAACAGTGTCTTCCACCACCATGCTTTCACCATGTCAACAACTGCTAATTAGCTACCTGTAGGAAGAAAAGACAATTGGTTGAGTGCAGAATTATAGGCAAATTGTGTGATAAGATTGACAGATGCCACAAAGATAGACAAATTAACTGATCGTGCCCAACATATTGACAGTTGTGGCGATATAATGAAGACCTACAGTTAGTGATATTTTGGACTTTCATCCCTTTGAAATAAATTCTTAGGAGCCGTTTAGGAAAGAATTCCATAGAGGGAAGCCACTTGACACCTGTGCACGAAGCATATGAGAGTGGTCTGAACAATTCTGTTTTCTAAGTGAATACCTCAATATTTTCACTGCTATCTTTGACTTGTTGGACATTTCATTGCTTTCAGATGGCTATTCACTGCTAGGAAAAATTAGTGGTGTCCGGATTATGGAATTCTTTCCCTGTTGCATTTAAACAAAAAAGATGTAGATCATGGTATTCAACGTAGGATTTGACTCAAAACAAGGCTAATATTGTCTCATGTGTTGGCAAAACTTATCCCCCCCAAAAAAATAAACGGTCAGCTCAAGTAGCAGAAACTTGCTGAAGTGGACAGTACCTGGTGCTGGAAGTCGCACAGTTTAAGAATGTGCTCACATATACTGAGAACTACATGTATGCAGGTTGTCATATTGCCTCTCCAAAGCAGAATGATGAAGTTCATAGATCAAGGGATAGCACTCACATACATTGTACATTTAAATTGTACTTTTACATGACATGTACACCAATGGGGGAATTCAGTTTCACTGGCAGGAATGGGACATAGAGGCCTGCATAGTATCAGTTTACTTCTGACTGTATTAAATCTAGATCATGGCAAACCATGCGCTTTGTTCATTGAGTCCCATAATTGTATTCCAAAACAGGGTTCCCTCCAAAACCTGTTACTAACCGTCTTTTTTGATGGGCTTTAAGCTCGTTCGTTTATACATGTACATGTATCATACAAGACCTCAAAAACAGTGACATCAAGCATCATTCATGTGAAAAATCCAAATTTGTCACTTTCAGAAAAAAGAAGCCCTGCGTCGCCTTTCCCAGAGTGGGGCAAGAGGAGTAAAGTCTCCCAGGGATGCGGTTCCTGATGACCCACTGAGGCAGGAAAGAGGCACAAGTGAGTACTGCGCATGTCGTAGGGTAAACAACGGTGAGATTTACACTGGTAAATAGAAATACTGAAGAAATGTAAACAAGTACTCAGCAGACACTCCAAAGTGGTGAGCACCGTGACATTTCTGGGTTACTGGGTTCTTACCTCGTGGGAACAGTGATCACTGAATCAGTTGGAAATGTAAAATTAAACCCTACACGTAACTCTTATTACTTTTCCTACTGGTAGGAACCTTCCTGGATCCTCCAAAATCCTCCATGATACAAGAAGCCATTGGCATACTCGCCAGACATTCTGATTGAATTGGAACTGTCACAGTTTTTAGTTCTCAGACTTCAAAAATCAGAAAGTTGCAATTTCTATGAAAAGAAAAAAAAGAAAAAAATCCCAGCAAAAGAGGATGGTATTTGTAGAAAAAAGAGGTTGCTCTCTATTTTGTCAAAGTGGCAGTTATGCACACATGCGTGTGTGTACATGTCCATAAAATAGCTTCTCTTGTACAGCTGTGCATTTTGCGTAAAATGGACGTTCCAATTTCTAACTGTCCAATGTTCGCAGGTACATGTATGCATTGGCTGTAATGGCCCACTCTACAAATTTGAACTATTAGCCACTTGTGGACAGAACTCTTTTATGGCTGTAGAATATCACTTTCAAAAAACCTCTCAATAGAGATCAGCCAACTTTCAACCCAAGCAAATCCTCACAATGCTGACTCTTGAGAGTCTTTTGTTCAGTATTTGTAGGACATTTCTTACCACAATGTGATTTTCAACACTTTGATGGCCTACCATGAAGTGTTATTTCATGTTCTTTGTCTGGATACTGCAAAAAATCTACTCTGGAATATTTTGTTGGAGACTGCCTTTGGCAACTGACCAAGCATGTTCAATGCCCAGTCTGCTTCCGTGGACTTGCCAGACATGGAGTGTGTTTACAAAAGCAGTGAAAACTGTGCAAAAATAAATAAACTGGGGGGTAAGCTGTGGAGTTGAACCTCTCAGCTGACCATATGTATTATCCAGGTTATTATTATAACTATTTATTCGACCTAAACAACAAACACAAAGGTTGTTTTATTGTTTACCATATCCTATGACATGAACTGATAAGTAAGTCAAATCCAGTGTAGGATAAAAGTGGCTGAGCTTTACATTCCACAGTCCTGCAAAATTCATCGCAACTTGCTGGTGGATTTGGAAGATCTGATAGGTTCTTGGTATGTACCGGTACATTTGAGCCATTTCACACATTCATGGTCTTTTGAATTTCATCATTTTGAGGCGTTTGTCGTTGTTTGAGCAGGAAGACATCAGAGACGCTCAATGGAGGAGGACGATCATCATTCAGCAGGTGGGATCTTTGGAGGACGTAGAGTCATCGCTACAGATTCCCCTTTATCTGGTACCCACCTTGTCATCCAAGCAAACGTAGGGGGCCAGTCGTCAGGTGCTGATACCCCTGACACAGAGCCAGATCAACCCAGACGGGTGGTCACCTCGCAACCAACCTCAGTTCCCCAGGGACCATTTAAACTGTTTGGTAAGAGTGCTGGCGTGTCCTCAAGTCCACCCTCTGATAAGACATTGCCTGGAGGTGGTGTCAGCAGTGGGATATTTAATTCCCCTCAAAAATCTGCAGAGGAATCTGAAGCACCTGGGTCTGAAAAGCAGTACCAGGCTTCACCTACCAGAAGAAGTGTATTTCAAGCTGAGACAAGCAACTTCTTCCCTATCAGACCCCTGTCTGGGAATGCCTCTGCAGATGACTTGCAAACCTCACACAAAGGGACCAACTCGGCTGGCAGTCTTTCTGCACAGGACTCAACGGCAAATCCATTTGCTAAACGCCCTCAAGAAGTGTCTCTACATTCCTCAGCAACAGAGGTGCCTGAATCGCTCTTCAGAAGCAAAGAGGCTTCTCCAGGTGTGGATTCTGTGACCAGGAACCTCTTCGGCAAGCCTGCGCCCAAGAGCACAGAGTCTAGCTCTCTGCTTTTTGGAAAATCGGCACCAAAGCCCGAAATTCTCTTTGGGAAAGAAGTGTCCAGAGAGCTAGAATTTAAGCCTCAGGGTAAAGTGCTGTTTGGGAAAGTTATAGAGCTATCAAGTCGCCGTGACCATGGTGATGTTCCAGCAAAGAGGCAGCTCTCCCCGAGTCGGTCAGAAGCTGCCTCCAAACGAACTCTCATGGCCTTCAACGACCCTTTCTCATCTACCTCAAGTGATATAACCGATCTAGAGACATTCGGAGCAGACACGAGCAAGAAGGATGCCAGGCAGAAGAAGCCCCTGATCAAGAGATCGGGCCTGTTTGGGAAAGCCATAGCTGAAGCTAGTGGGAGAAGTCATGACTCACCCAGAGGGGATCAGCCAAGTGATAGCCATGCATTGACCAGCAAGACTCATAAAAGTCGCAGCCGCAGCCCAGAGAAAAGAAAACAAAGCCCAGGCAGGTCCAGTGAAGATGAAATTAAGAAGACCAGAGATGAAAGCAAGCCAGGTCAGTGTTTGCCCTTCTTCACCCAAGTTAAGATTATGAGACCCAATATTTGACCCCAGAATCACCTGCATTGACAAAGTGGTCACATTGCGACTGATGTCTATTTAGGGCCACTGTTCCCTCTTCATGCATTCATCACAAAACAAAATCGTAAAGCTGCATTTGCAAAAGCAGAAATCTGTTATGCCACCATTGTGTAGACTGCTTAGTTATTACCTTGAGAATCTATTCAAACATTGGCATGTTGGGCTGACTGGCAAAGGACTTTCCAGAGCACGTCTTCATCGTGTGGAGTTTGTCCATTCCTTTCCTCACTTCTTCCTCAGGCCGCCGATCCTCTTCTTCCAGTTCTTCCTCTCGACGGTTCGCCAGCCCAGAGGAGATCAAGAAACTGCAGGCCATTGTCATCAAGGGGGTGCCACCAGTGGCCAACTCACGAGCCTACCTTAAGGACTTTTTCTCACAGTATGGCCCAGTCACCCGTGTCTTCACCAATGCTGCTAAACACTCTGCCATTGTTTATTTTGCGGATCATGTAAGTTTATGTATCTTTTAGGTTTAGTTTTCAAATGTGTGCAGTAACTCTAGAAATCTACTGGGTTACAGACGTTTTAGGCCTTCAAAAAAGAAATAAAAAGATTAAAAGGCTTGCCACTCCTTGCTTAAAATCTAAGTTTGGTAAAATAGCAAACATGAAATTTCCAAAAAGTGTCCTGACTAGTTTCGCAAAGAAGACTTCATCTCAAAATTTTCATGGCCAGATTTTGGAAATCTTAGATCACATGTACATTGTACATGTATCTTTAAACCAATCTTTAAACATTTGTTTGTGAATCCAAACCACATGTTCCTAAAATTTCCCCAAATTAACCATACAGGTGTTAGGAGAATCTTGTTTGTATTGATGTAACACGTAGTAATATGCATACAAACAAGTGGAGCTGAATACCCACTGCATATTTCCTGATAGTGTTTGTGAAAAATAGTTTTGTGCTAGATTACCCAAGAAGATGATTGAAAAAATAGCGGGCTGTCTCTGCAGATAAATCATAAGTCACTCATAGTGGTCCTTTTTCTTTGTGTGCCAGGATTCAGCAGCCTATGCTAAGAAGAAGGCCCGAGTTTTGAAACGAGGCACTAAACCAGTAGCCATATTCTGGAGGCAAGGGGACCCAGGACCTAAATCGGAGAACAGACCCTCACAAGATGGTGGGTACTTCGTACGACTCCAGGTGAAACGACTCCAAGAAAAGCCAAGGGGGAAGACAAAAATTGAAGATAAAGGGAGGAGTATTCAATCTAATTGACTTGTTATGGGGATCATAGAGGGCAGTCTACTTGCATGTCAGTGGTTCAATTGTTGGAACCAAAATGGTGGATTATGCACAGTTCACGTCGGCAGTTGGCACACAACAGCTGCACACTGTACTGCACACATAATGAACAGCCATTTTGGTTCCAAAGTCTGAAGTTGGTGCTACTCTCTCTATAAACAGCTCTGATGTACATGTATGTCCCAATCACTACTTGTAAGTAGGTGAACTTGAAGTACAGTGTCTCATCTATCCACCTGTGCACCTTTGCTGAGGACTGGCCAAAATGATTCAGGATTGCCAATTGGTGCTGGTACAGAACTTACAATCCTCTATTTATTTCACAAATCTGTAACACTGGTAATTAAGCATTCGTGCTTTCATCCAAAGTATTAAGTGCACTGGAAATGGCCTCAGATAGCACCAAGGGGTAACAGTTTCTAGATCAGTTGCTGGGAGACGACAGGCAATTTGTAACAGTGCGAGAGGACGAGCAGATATTTAAATCCCAGATGTGGGGACAAATCCCCAACTGGTGCCAACTTTCCCAACAAAAAAATGCAGCAAAGGTCTAACTACCCTGTCCTGCTGCAGTGCGTGCTTTTTCTACAAAGAGTTGGTATAAATGTAGACCTATTCTAGAAAGCATTCCTTACATTGTATTGTGTGTTATGCCTTTTATAACTTTCTGGCTTGCCATCTTTGAATTCTTACCCTCAGACCACAAGGTGTCCTCGACAAAACACACAGAGAGCAAACAAATCGGTGTGAGGCCGTCCCTGGCAATGTTCAACCGCAAGATAGAGGCAAAAGTGAATCCTGAGGATGGTAGTAGCGTCGTGAAGCAGATTAGCAGCACGACTTCAGCAGCAGGCCATCAGAAGACAACTAGTGAGTAACCAGTTCATTCCGTTGTACCTAGGCCGTTTTCCGAATACTCAATTTCGTCTCTGTCTCAGGCTTGGTCTCCGAAACCAATCCGATTGTGGGCCTGAAGCCTTGACATTAAATTGAAGTACTATAAAAATGGGCTCTTTTGCATGTTTTGCGGCAGTATCTGACTTACTACTGCACTTACAATTTCAAAGTCAGATGGTAAAAAACAGTTGAAGCCTGAGACGGAACCGAAGTCGAGTATTGGAATAAGACCAAGTCTGTGAGGAGCATTACTTGCCCTCAGGGGATATGGCGAGAGGCAAACCTCTCGTGACAAACTCCCCAAGTTGCAGTGTCTCACATGTGAGGCAAGGGGCATAATGCACTGCGCTTTGCATGAAATGTAGCAGGTTACCTCACGTCATTGCCCACAGAAGAGCATCTTGCACAAACGTGCGTGAGGTGTACCCTCTTGCTCCCTATGGTACACAGTGGTATGAGTGACTTTCAAGGTGGAGACCCTCACACAATGTCCCACAAGATAAAGTACCTCGCATCGTCTCTCCTGGCGTTGTCCTCCAGGCACTACTTTGCTTGAGGTTCACAGCATGACACCTCGTAGTGTGGAAGGTGTAGAACCCTACTCCTCCATGAGATGCTGCACAGAGCACCACCGTCATGCGAAGCAGGGCCTTGCATGAGGTTTAGCACCTGATGTCTGCTTAAGTCTTGTGACTGATACTAAAGATGACACACCTCATTTACAGCAGTTAGTGCAAAAGTTGTCATTTGCAAAATATATTTGTTCCTTGGGGCACTGAGAATGTTGACTGAGTGCACCATGCAGAAAGCATGACGTTAACATTGTGGTTAGTGGCGTCTGTAGACGTAATACTTAAATTCTGCTCAATAGTGAAATGACAAAGGACGTACACATGGAAGAGAATTTTAATCCAATTGTAACTTTGTAGCCGTACTCAGGTGCATTCAGTTGTAATTGAAGATTGATCGTGTGGACTTCATGCCACACGTCAATGCCTGTGAAGACATCATGAAACCTCCAGTGCCATATAAAGTTTTTTGGTATGAAGTCTGTAACATGGTTTACCGCCACTAAGAGATTATTATTTTTTGTCTCTACCTGTTCAGATCTGTCAGTTCCTGGCCATTTACTCAGCAAGCAGGTTGGCCACACTGCACAAGACAGATATGATATTCTGGAGGACAGAGACAGAGTTATCAGACAAGGCAAGTAGCGAACTGTCCTTGATTTAGTTCATCATTTTGATGTTGATTGCGCCCTGTTCCCAAACCCTCTGTCATTTTTCACTAAAAGAAATTCACCAGCCTATCCATGATATGCCATGACGTAGCCCATACCAGAAAAAATGCTGTAAGTACTGAACCAGTCAGCATGCTAAGGTCGGCCAACCAATTTGATCAATACATTTCTTTCCAATTTTAAATTGTTTGATTTGGTTTGATGGCAGGTGGGAAAATGTTCAGTGTTCGGTCATCAATTAAAACTGGTCTCAAGGTGAATCCAAGTGGATTTGCCAGTGTGGATGGGATAGCAGACCGTTCTCGTAAGGTCTGCCCACAGCGGACCTAAGCCTATTTGAGCTTTGGTGGACACAATAGGGTAAAATCTTTTGTGTTTACTCCAAAATTATCCACTTCACATTTCACCCTCCTATTTTGTCCGCCATGCTTCAAAAAGGCTAGTGGCAAGTGACCTGTACATCTGTCACATGACAGACATAAATCACGCCTGTTATTGTCAGAGCACCATGGGGGGCATAATGAATCGGCCTTTCATGTATTGATTTTGAGGCCAGCTTGAGTGTGTATAGAACTGGGAGTTGCTTTCACACGTCATTGCAAGTCACAAGTCAAGTCACAGTGGAAATGTGCCTGAAATATTCCTTTGTCGTCTTTCATCATGTGACCTGTCTTGTGACTGGACTTGTGAAAGGACTAGACAACGGTGATGCAGGTGCCTTCCCATCATGCATGCTACGGATTTGTACACATGCAGGTGGAAATTGTTCATGCTCTTTCTCTGCTATTCATTGCATTTTCAAATTAAGACTATACCGAGTACATCTTTGCCGCCATCCCGTGTTGATTTTGCAGTCTGGTAAAGCCCAAAGCGCTTCATTTGGTCGCCCAACCATGGTTGAATATGCTGTACAGGAATTTGATGTAGACATTGGGCCCATTGACTGCGATTATGTGAAGTTTATTTTAAGTCTTGGGCTTTTCCCTGTATGTGATATGACTCTTTATAAGAACTGGCTGTTCATTGCTCAACAAGACCTCTGAAAAAAAATACTACTTTTGCAGACTTTTAAAGCCGCTCATGCCTTGTTAATCAGTCTGGAGTATTACCATATTTGGATGACCCATTGCAGCACAAATCTTGTGCAATTTGACCAATCACAAGGCTTGTTCTAGCACTTTGCAGTGGATTGTATGGGTTTTTCCATATTATGGGATGCTTTTCTTAAACGTTGCAGCATATGGAACAAAACACCAAAGAAAAATTTCGATAACAAAAATTTGATTGACTGTGCCAGAAAACCTGACTGCAGACATAATGTGATTTGAAATTCATTGTTGCCAACTTGAGCTATTTATAAGGTTGGATTTGGACAAAAATTGCTGTGTCAGAGGGGAAAGGTCAGTATGCCCATATATGGTAATACTCTAGACTGTTAATAGCACGTCCAAGTTCCGTTTTAGACCTTCTCCTTTCATTGAAACTGTGAGCCATACAGTACCAGCACACTGTCATGAATGATGATTTCTCAGTTTTTATTTATTTATGTATTTATTTATGCATTTATTTCTGATGACCAATCGCGGTTACCCACCGCTTACAGGCATCCATACTTTTATAATTTTACACGTTCAGGTCTGAAGAAAAAAACCAACCTGGCAATGCCAGGGGCTATTAAAGGTACATGTCCAGACATGTGTCCCGAGAAGGAGCGCTACATGAGGGAGGTCCAGCGTAGACTACACCCATACGAAGTCTTACAAGGATCTACAGACCAGGTTGGGCGAAGGGTTTCAGAAGTGTCCCATTGTTTAAGTCTTGTGTGACTTCAGTCGTCAAGGCAGTATTTATTTGATGTATTGACCGACCCAGTCATCACCCACTTCAGATGAAGCACCTTACCCCCTACTCTACCCTCATTCTTCAATGCAGCCTTATCCCACACCATCCTCAACCAGTCATCTCACCCTAACCCGTCACCCCCATCCTTACCTTTCATTCCACATTCAGCCCTTACACACCCTTTCTGCTTGCCTCAGCCGTGCCTCTCAACCCACTCTTCCTCATAAATCCTCCCTAACCCGTCACCCCCATCCTTACCTTTCATTCCACATTCAGCCCTTACACACCCTTTCTGCTTGCCTCAGCCGTGCCTCTCAACCCACTCTTCCTCATAAATCCTCCCTTACCCGTCACCCAACCCTTATCCCCCAACCCACCCTCATGCCTTGTCCCACTCTTACCAATCAACCCAGTTCACCCTGCCCTTACACCTTTTTCCACCCTAATCCCACCCACCCCTACCTCTTACCCCACCTTCACTCGTTATCCCACCCTCATCCCAACTTTACTTCTCATTCCACCCTTCACCCTACCCCTCATCCCGCCCTCACCCCAATTTGCTTTAGACGCTAATCAGATGACATTTTTTCTCATTCTAGACTGAAACACTTATTTACATGTACGCACTCTTTTGGGTTTGCTGCATCTGCTGCTTTTCTGCCAGTGGTGAACCACCCCCCAACCTTTGTTTGTCATTCACATCTATTCAGGACAATGACATTACACGGGCGTGACCAAAGTTGTATCAATGACCAAAGCACTAACACTTGGGCCAGGGTTGTGGAAGCACGCTCCTGGGAGTGTGACCCTCAGAAATAAAGCAAAGTAATGATAGTGATGATGATTATCCAGCTGTACTCGCTACAGGTTTGGCCAGTTGCCAATTACTCCCTGTGCTTTTTATGTCGATGCTGTGAACGAGAAGAATAGAACTTTTGTCACCTGCAGTTTTCCCACGCCAGAACGAATTGTAAACTGAAATGTGAAACTGAAGGTTTCTGTCTGAATAATCAAAATATACATACAGCATAAACAGTTGAAGTATTAAGTCCGGTTTCTATGAAAGTATCTTATCAGGAAGTAAATGAAAAGCATTACAGTTTGATCAGGGTGCTGTTGAAAATATTTAGAATTGTTCGATCTTTCACTGATGTACATGTACATGTGTGTACATGTGCAAATACTTAGTGCTGTCCAGAGCCTTCTAAAGACATAAAATTACAAAGCTGCACCCAAATGGGACTCATACGGCTTACTAATGTTGTTCCCAACCTTCAGAATTTACATCTACGTGTGCGATACCTTGATGCACAAAATTTGTCAAAGGGTTGAGAAAACCAAGAGACTTCCATTTGTCCCCAAGACAGCTTTCCAAACTGCATATTACTGAGGTTCCTACATACTCAGGTTTTTCCAAATTTTCCGAGAAGTTATTTCCATGTAAAGCACCGGTTAGTTCTTGGTTATTAGTTAAATGTTGAATCGTAGATCTCACAGAGAAACTAGAGAAGGCTGAGGTTTTTAATGCATAGTAAACATACCAGTGCCGAAACAGGGCATGATCTTTCTGGCAGTGTAACTTATTTATAAATAGGCAGAGAGCTTTTTTCTTGAAAATGTTTTGCTTTCTGTTGTTTGGAGTTCTCAAGAAAAGATACAAAACGCCTGTAATATGTTATTCCCATTTTGTGTTCCTGTTTCAATTTCACATACCCAGGTGTGCAATTTTTTAGCACCATATTTGATCTGCGTGCATTGTTGTAGCAATTGGATTGGAGTTTGTAGCTACATTTTACGTGTCCTTGCAGGGGGGAGGATGTTATATGCACATAAAGCCTACGGTGTACGTCCTCCATATTAATTTCCTTAATTTATCTTTCTTTTGGAAGCTTCAGAAATCTTTGAAATCAGTATATTTCACAATATCATGTTCAGTTTCTTGTCCTGCTTAGATGTTCATGCATTTGCGTAGGCTTTGATGAATTAGCTAAACACGCTGTAGGCTATTATCAGCAGTTCATAGTGGGGACTGTCTACAGTAACAGAGTATTCAATTGCAGTATTTCATCCAATTACTAAATTGGGCTACTTTGACAAGATGGTCTTTATACCCTTTGAGGGGGGGTCAGTGGTCTTTACCCATCCATCTTGACAGGAATGCTAGTGAGGTGTCAGTCAGGGGTTGCAATTGAAGTGAATGAGGACAAGGGTTTTGTTGCAGTAAATGCTATAATTATATCCCTCAAAGTAAGAACAGCTCTTGTGGTGGCTTACATGTAGTATGGTACCTGAATCTCCTCCTATAATCAAATAGATATGCAGCAAATTGTAGGGAAGCTGTGGCCGACGCGACTTGCAAAACCCTCCGACGAATGTTTCGTGGGTTGTTCATTTTCCCCAAATCACACCCCTGGTCAGTGGAAAGCTGATATCCTTTATGAACATGTGCATCCCCATAAGAATGTGATAAGTTCTGAAATTTAAGGGCTCTGATGAGGGCACTCATTCATAACTACATGTAACTTTTTGGATCATACTCTCGGGGCCAGTAATTTCTTAAATGCTTAAATACTCGGGATTTTTCCAGAGGGGATCATACTGAAGTGAATCTTTTGAAGGGAGGGGGCATACGCTTTATGCCTTGTTTCAGTTTTTCTAAATGCCTTGAAACGAATCTGTTCCAGAGGGTTGCGGTATTAAATGCATCAATTTATTTTCTGTTTTTTTCCCTACACAGGTACATGTAAACCATGATGCCGCTGTGAAAGAGTACAGCAGGTCTTCAGCAGATCAGGTGAATTGAGCTTTTAGTTCCTCTGTTGATGTTGACCCATTTTTTAATGTCTTACCAGATTTAGTTCCTCTTTCACACTCGTGAGGTGAGAAAGTTTCCCCGTGAACTGAAACTTTGTGCCCATCTGTTAGTGGTTGCGTGTGACCTTTCCTCCATACAGATATATTGCAGGGTATCCTTTTTTTTAATTTAATTACTTACTCTCTGTCCAGCTCAAAAGTTTATCAAATGTCACTTGTTCATGATGATCATGTTATAATGATCATGTACATGTATGTCAGATTTCCAAATAAATTTTACAGCCAACTCTTCCTGTTGTGTTCAGGTGGTTAGGAGGTTAGGTGGTTAGGAGGTCAGGTGGTTAGGAGGTCAGGTGGTTAGGAGGTCAGGTGGTTAGGAGGTTAGGTAGTTAGGAGGTTAGGTGGTTGGGAGGTTAGGTGGTTAGGAGGTCAGGTGGTTAGGAGGTCAGGTGGTTAGGAGGTCAGGTGGTTAGGAGGTCAGGTGGTTAGGAGGTCAGGTGGTTAGGAGGTCAGGTGGTTAGGAGGTTAGGTGGTTAGGAGGTCAGGTGGTTGGGAGGTTAGGTGGTTAGGAGGTTAGGTGGTTAGGAGGCTTTTTAACCACTTGCCGCCGGGGTTTCCGGTACCGGACATGTATTCTTTATATGCGTGGTGGGGGTCTCCGAAATCAGACAAGGGAACTGGGCTTTGTAACAAAGGACCGTACTCGTAACAAAAGATCAGGCTGCTGGGCATTACCGACATTGTTTCACTCTCAATGGTGGAGATAATCCAGCCTTATTTGAAACAGTATACCAGGGTTTGGGGGATTTAGCGCGAGCAGATTACCACCGGGGACAAATGCACTCCACGAGATGAGCCACACAGTACTGCTGCACGCTAATCGGGCCCCTATTGGAAAGAGGTCAGCAGTGCACTGTGCCAGGTCCGTGAACAAAAAAAAAGTTACGTAACACCGCATAATCTGGGCTCCTTTTACAAGGCAGCAGGCCTGGCTGAAATACTCCAGCATCAATAGATGTTGTCTGTCAGATTAGAGTAGAAACCAGACAGTCCTTTGTGTGGGTGTAAGCGTCCAGTAAATGAAGATAGGAATTTTTAAAGAAATTTGAAAACAGGAAAAAAATGATAATTATCCCGCCCCAGCATCATCATAATTGATAACTGCCACCGGCGCGAAGTGGTCAAAGGTTTATGCATGTGTGTATTGGAGGCTGATCAAGAGTCTCGGGAGATCTTTTAGTCACAGCGGGCTGTCGTTTCAGGTCTATGAGGACAGTTTGCACGGATGCCCTTTTTATATTTCAGGCCGGTTCTTACTTCAGGCAGATGTGAAAGCAAAGAAAATCTGATGTCATGAAACATTTTGAGTGAACTTCAATGTACAAAATGTTTCCAACTTTTATGAATTTGCTGATATTTAGTCTGACATTACAAAATCGTTTCGGTTTTTGCTTTTGCCCCAATAATGAACCAGCTTTTACGCCAGGGTTATTTTTAATGAGTCTCCGCCACCTTCAACCCATTGCATTGTTCATCACTCAATACTGATTGAAAACTTGGAAAATTACAGACGCGTAGGCTGCAGCACATGGAAGCCTCACTTGTTTGTGCACAGCAATGGGGTGTGTGCTATCTCATAGGTATGTTGAGATAAGTGATCTCACGCTAGTCCATGAGTATCCATGGCACTTGTTGATCCACCTCACCCTGATATAAAGTGTGGCATGAAAAAGGAAGGAAATGAAAAGAAGGAAAGTAGATAAATTCACTAATCTGCTTGAAACTACCGTCAGTTTTCTATTACCAGTTGTGGTTTCAGATGCAACATTTATGAATTTACTCTTTTCATTTACTTTTTCTAATGGCCAGTTTAAACTTCCAATAAACAAATCAGAAAGCGTAATTTACAATATAACATTCGTTGCAAAATTCAACAAAGTTGGAATGCATTCAAATTTATGCAGACTTACAAATGACATGCAGTGGCTTATTATAACTTTTATGAGGTCACCTCTTTACCTGCTAAGGCTGCATCCAAATCTGTCATAGCTCAAGTCTAGGTCTTCAAACCGTTGGAAATGCACTGCAGATATCAGGCCTAGCCTTACCTGTAGCTCTTTAATCCCATTCCGGACACGGTCTTAGTATGCACAACCTTCACATCAAACATTGTGATTTTTGCCGTGATTTCAGGAGGAGCCCTTACCCCACGAGATGAGGCCAGCCCCTGTCCTAACCATGACGATGAACTACCTGATGCGTCACGTCATGAACACGGGACAGGACGGCCACTGGGAGGAATGGTTTGACTTCCTCTGGAGTCGGACGCGTGGAATCCGCAAGGACATCACACAGCAGGATCTACGAGACCTGACTGCCATAGATCTCATGGAGAAATGTGCAAGGTAACCACTCCTACCAGGGCATGGAAACACCAGCTCCCAGGGTGTGAAACCGCTCACTTAAGGCAGATCTGATTTTAACATTGGGTTCTGATAATGGCCATTTTCTACAATATGATTTCGAGCCACTCTGTACATGTAGTTATAAAGTGGAATGATTTCATTAAAAAGGTTTAAAACATTTTGCTCATTCTTAGATCCGAGATTTGTTTTTTTTGTGTCTGTATCCGACATATTGGAAGCTTAGAACGTATCTCAAGATTTGCTTTACATCAGGGAGATGTTATTTAAAAATAACAGGTTGATCTTAAAGCTCTGTTGGTGAGTGGTTAAGACGGCAGTAAGTAGGAGGTTATGGGTTCGAGTCCCACCCAAGTAAAGCTTCTGATTTTTTTCACAAGTTTGGACAAACTCTTGAATATACACTGTTATGAATACCTGTTGGTTTATTAACCCTCCTTTAGTTTTACAGCACAAATATGCACAAGTGGCCAAGGTCACTCTCTTGCATGTTGGTGCTGTGCACAACACGACACAGCTGTGCTTCTTTGAGGTGTTTACCAAGTGACCCAAAGAGTGACTTCAGCATAGGAGGGTTAAAGGGTAAAAACCTGTTAAAAAATTAGATTGTACTCCTTAATTTTCAAGAGTGATTTAAAGCAAATTGCCTGCCAAACAAATAAAACGTGCCTTCACAGCAACAGAGCTTTTTAAATATTTACTCGTAAAACTTACTCTCTCCAGAACTTTTTGGGTGCACTTTTAAGCCGAATAGGATGTCAAATAATATCGTGCATCATAAATGAAGTGTGAAATTTTTAAAGACATGATTATGGTATCCTGTCCAACTGGGAAGAGGAAATTGTTTACAATTTACATGGAACTGTTTTAAAAATAAATTTTTAAGTCCAGATTTAAAGGTCCTTATGCTCCAGGCATTGCTGTCTGGTTCCTAGGTTTCACATCTTCTGCTCCCATCGGCTGTGTGAGGAGGACCTCAGTACCATTGACCCCAAGATCAACAACGAGAACCTGACTAAATGCATGCAGTCCCTCAAGCAGTTTTACCGCGATCTAGCTAGCGAGGGCGTTGTTTGTCCCAACGAAGCAGAGTTCCGGGCATACGATGTTCTGCTGAACCTCAACGACAGGGACATCCTCAGGTAAGTGGTTTCCGCATCTGCATTTCTGTTTGACTTCTTGTTTTCTTTCAGGAATTGGTTTGTTAAAGGACAAAGCATCAGCTTTTCTGGAGATGGCGAACTTGATTCTAACTTGTAGTTCCTTAATCCAAGCCCTTGTTGCATTTTCTGTTGATTTTTGTGTAATGTGTGCGATTCACAATAGCTTCCGCTACCACGAGGTTTCCACAGAGAGGCTATGTTTGAAGTTATGGTTGACATAATGCATGGTGGACTTGCAGTGATGTGCATTTGAGTGTGTGCTAATCCATAAGTTGAAGTCTTTGATGGATTAGGATATATACTCCATGCATTGGAAAGAAGACAGGATTAAGTAAAATGCTGCTCAAATGAACTCAGGAATCTTCTACCCACACAAAAAGCTATGGGAAAAATTCATGTTCCCCATATAGAATTTGGTCACCATTTCTCACAATGCTTTTCAAACAAGACCTTCCCTGTGGCAACCTCTTTGATGGGCTTTGTGTTGTGAATTGCCCATAGTATGCAACCCAATCCAACTCACCCAAAGTGAAAGGGTTGCTGGAGAAAAGCAACAAAACTTCAACAGACAGCAACAAAATCCAACAGTGGGATTTGACATTGAGGTCTGCACTTGTGGTGACTGTTGAGTCCAACAATTGGGTGCAGGTGCGCCCAGTATTGTACTTGGTTGCGTCATACTGCCAGGGTCATTTGGTAAAGTTGCAACTCATAAGCATGCTCTTGTTTCATTAAATTTCATGTGATCAATTAATAAGGCATAAACATTTTGCCACTTCAGTTTAACTTCTTCCTCTTGCATTGCCCTTAATGGGCAGTCTTGCACCAATCTCAGTCGCACACTTCCCAGCTAGCCATCCAAAGAATGAATTAAACGATAAAATTGTTATCACATCATGTGACTATTCAAACGACCCATTTTGTTATTTTGTTGCTCCAAATACATGTAACTTTACATGTACACAGCACATCAACTGTGTTATCTTTCTCACAGGCTTTGTACATGCTGTTAAGAAATAGTTTACATTTTATAGGATTAAAACATTAGGCTCCCTAGCTTGTGAGATTTGTACATTTCAGTTAATCCCGGTCAGCAAGCAGCATGAAGCAACTCTCCATCTGTTTATTCAAAAGCAAAAAGATGGAGAGTTGCTACGTGCTGCTTGCTAGTGTATTTGCACAATCAGCCAAGTAGAAAGATTCAGCAATCACATTGTACAGAACTGAAGTAGTCTCCATTTTTTAACGTACATTTAACATACGCATAGTTTCATATGTACATGTAATTCAGAATGTGCCTTAAACTATAAATACGTTTGAGATGATTACATTTGTTCAGTTACTACATGTAGACTGTCACAAAGTTAAATTAAATTTCATATTTGCATGGTACATGTATAAGTATTTACACATACATGAAACCAGAACTTGAAGGCATTGGTGTCCTTGCTGTTATCTTGCAAGCAGCAGACACTTTCAACCATGGAAAAGTATCTCCATGTAACGATGCATGGAGTGAATTTTTTTTTAAAATACAAAATAAATAAAAACAGTATACCAAAAGAGCCAAATGTAAACATCGAAAGCAAATTTTATACTAATCATATGAGATTAAATTAAAAACAGCACCTTCCACATCTTTCGGCAATTTGGACTTGATTCATGTCCAGTCTTGGGAAGATAAAGTAAATAGTACAACCACAAGTTTTTTCAAGCACACTTTCTGATAAGATTTTCACTTGTGGCAATTTTGGAAGAGTAATAGCACGTGTGCTTTCACATCACAGAATTGTTGTGGCATAGTGGTGTGGAGTGCATTCTGGGGTCTGACCAGGGATGTCACGAGGGACTGCCACGTAGGGAGGGTCCGGATGACCAAATTCATTGGAGTCATCTGAGTCACTGGTTGGAACTTCATAGGTTTGTTCAAACCATATTTGTGCCTCAGCTTCATCAACGGTGCTGACATCGTCTTGCACCTCAAAGTCGGAGTCGCTTGCAAAATGCGATCTTTGAATGACTGTTTCGTATGCCCCTTCGTCTTCTTGAATCTGCCTGGTAGGCGCCATTGGCACCATCGGTAGGCTCCTCTCTTGCTGCCGTTGCGTGATTGGTCGCGGTAGACTCTTGCATGTCTGTGCCTGCTGTTGCCGCTGGTGATATGTGCGTGTGTACCAATTCAAATACTTCATCAAGACAATGAGAACAAAGACGACAGAGAAAAGAGTGGCTGCCCCTACGATGCTGTAAAGGGTGACTGGATCAAGTTCAGAGTTTCCTGGCACGTTCTGTTCCAAAACTGGAAGGTTCTGATCCTTGCCATCAAATCCATCTTTGGAGTTGGTCTGGGAAGAGATCTGCGCGTTTTGTTCAGTAACAAGTGGCAGGTCGTAGTCACTGCCTTCAAAACCTTGTTTAGAGGCGATTTGGGTTGAAGGCTGAGTGTTTTGCTCAGTAGCAAGTGGAAGGTTGCTGCTGCTGCTGCCTAAACTTTGTACTGTGGTGGTCTGGGTGAAGGGCTGTATTCCAGTGAAACCAAAACTCACTAGAGCTGGACACAGCGAGCTTCTTGTGAGGTGACTAAGTGCATAACCCCTCAAGTGCTGAGGCCAGCCACATGTCACATTTGCTTTGAGGATATCAACACCTTCATCAGTCAGGTGATTTGTAACCCACACCCTGATGGGATCTACGGAGCATGTGCAGTTCAAATTGTCATTCTTGGCCAAGTACAGCTGATCCAGTCCATTGATTTTAGCTGCCAAATCATCAATGTCACGGAGGTCATTGTCAAAAAGGTCAAATATTTTGAACTTGGCCAATAGTGGGAAATTAGTTATTGAAACAATCAAATTCCCGGACAAATTCAATTCCTCTAAGTTTTCCAGGCTTTCAAAAAGGGACCCATCAATAGATCTCAGATTGTTGTTCTCAATGTTCATGTAGGTAAGTTCAGTCAATACATCAAAAATGCCAGCAGGGAATGCCATGAGCCCATTGTCACCCATATGCAGATATTTCAGGAGGGGTGTATTACGAAACACCAAAGCATGCAGATTGCTGATGTCGTTGTGGCCAATGTAAAGTCCACTTAGTTTATCTAAGCCAACGAAGGCATCAGGGTGCATGTATGTGATACTGTTTTGGTTAAGGAAGAGCTGTTTTAGATCAGATGCCCCTTCAAATGCTCTTCCCGTGACCTCATACAGAGAGTTAAACTGTAGGTAAATGTTTTGGAGTGAGATACACTCTTCAAAGGCTCCATTGGCGATGTTACTAATCTGGTTAAACTCAAGGTCAACATATCGTAGTGACCGATATCCTGCAAAGCTACCTGGTCCAAGGTAGGTGAGGTCATTGTTACGTAGGTCAACCATCTCTGACTGGCTGCATTCCAAGGGGACTTCAGTCAGGCCACGGTTCCTACAGTTAGCATCCAGCGCCCACGCTGTGTACTCACAGGTGACATAGCAGCTGGCATCTTGTGATGCGTGCACTACATTTGTGTTGATGATGGCACAGATAAGGAGAAGTGAGCTGATAACATTGGATGCCATGGTAACGTTGGAAACGGGGCAATGCTTTGATGTCTTGTTAAGCTACTTGATAGCAAAGAAGGCTTGCTGAAAAATTCCATCTACATATACTGGTAGGTATTTGAGTATCATACCCAATGTCCAAGGTATTCCTTTGTGTTACCTCTGAATATCACACATTCTAACCTGCTTTTCTGCAAGTTGTAGCAAGTGCCTGGAGCGTTACAGGCACAGCGCAGTTTCTCTGTAACTTCAGGTCAGACTTACTCTCAGAATTGGAATCTCTTCCATAGTAGAGTTGCTTCTCTGTCTTCTGATGTACCTGGTATGAATCCTTGTAAAAGGTAAGCTCCCGGTGTGGTGTACATGTACATAGTTCGGCAGTCACAGATGCACTACTCATATAGATAATAAAACTTGGAAGCAAACATTTCACGTGCTTTAAGTTTTCTCCCTGTTCTAAGTTGTCACTCTTCAGTTATGAAATTAATGAAAGCACTGTAAGAGAAAGAGATTACTTTGGCTTTCTCTTCCCATAAATAAATTTAGAGTTTACTTCTACTTTCATGTACGGTGCCCGTTAAATTTTCCAGCTGTTTGAAAGAAGTAGTGCCCACACTGACTTCCTGTTATTTTCACCAGTTGTTTTACCAGTTAGTCTGCTGTTGTCATGGAGGCTGAGAATCTACCAACTGGATGGCACGGTGTGCTCATGCATAGCAAATTATGGAACTGGCCTAGCCAGAACCCTCAGTGACCATCATTCTTGATTTCAGATTGACATGATTTCAGACATCTCATATTTGATCTGCATTCACCCCCAGGTGACCTGCAGCTTTAGTCCCTCCCCCCCCCAAAAAAAGGAACAAAAAAAGAACACTTTTCTATGTGGCAAGTATTGCGTTTAAAAAATCACTCGATGTGCCCATCAAAACACGAGTGTGAAATTCAAGGTGAAATGCCATGATACAGATTTAATGTTCTGCAGACAGCAAAATACATTCAATATTCAGGTCAACATGAGAGCAGTGAAAACTAGCAATGTTGATCTTTGTGTCAATTTTATCAGCCAGGTACCTTACATACCAGGGGTATACCGGTATGCTGAGGGGCAAGTTTCTCATTCGTGCAGATGTAGCATCTGAAACTTGTCCACTTCAAAACGGTTTTAAAAAATCACGTACTCTAAAGGATAAATGTTCAGGAGAAATATTACATACGCATTTTCAAAAAATAACATACCCGTAATAGTGACATACATGTAATAATAAATATCATAATCTCTATCCTGAAAATGAAAACTGATCAGCCGGCTCATCCAAAGCCACATGGAATGAGCTTCATTGCTTGCATGAGTGGTGTTTTCTGATTGGCAGATGTAGTGCAAGGGCATAATGTTTAGTGAATCATGTACAGTGTTATGTACAGTGTTACGTAATGTTGCTGTGATTGCTCCCTCTATTGAACTGCAATGGTGTAGTCAGCAAAGAAGGTGACCAGCCCTAATTGGGTGGCATTTATCTGTAACCTCATCTGGTTTAAGTGCAGTGCAGGTTATCTTCTTACCTTGATTGCGCGGTCAGGTCACTGGCATATGCTGTTATATATTTTTAAAATGATATAAAGGCAAGAAAAAAACAGGTCTTATGAAACAAAATCATCATGTGAAATGGGTGAAACGGAATGATTGGAATCTCCATTCACCATTTTTCTTATATTCTTGTAAAACATTGGAATGGGTAGACATTTATAAGTTACAAAATTCTAAAAGATGGCTGCTGGTTTTGAATTTGGCCATAAAAAAGACCAGCAGGAACCCTGTGGGTGAATTGGAGGGCTTGGGGCCGATCAAGATTACAGAAAATGTGAGCACTTTCAAGTGTCAGTCTGAAATGTTGTGACAGGTACAATGTAGGTTTTTGCCACTTTTAGGAGCTGTTAATATTCTCTCTTCCCCAAGCCCCAACCTCATTCTTCCAAGTTGGGGGGGGGGAAGGACCGTGGGACAGTGCCAGTCATGTGCAGTTCGGTCTCCCATAGCAGAGAGCCTCTGATCATTTGTTCATTACACTAAAAACAGACAGCACGTACATTTATGCTTTGTGACAACCGTGAGTGAATTGAAACAATTTTATTGAAACCAGTTCACCGTAAACATCCATGCCATACATGTGCACGTATACAATACTGGTTACAAATCTTTAGCATCTACATGTATATAGAAAATTTACATAGAGTTGATATACAACTGCATGATTTTGCACCTTCAAGTTGGAAATCATAAAAATCTGAGTCTGGATCGTACAGTCATAAACAGACTAAACAAATCGTAAAAATTATGCCTAAATCCTACAAGTTGGTATCTCTGCATACACCAAGTGTAGACTCGACGCTGTACACAACGCCTGCTCATAACATGTTACGTACAGGACGCAATTGCAATCACAGTGAGAAAAATCTGCAACAATTGCAGATTCCTTGGGCGTTCTAAATTTACAGATGGGTTATTTTTAATTGATTAGGGCAACTGGGCAAACTAAAACATTTGGCAGTGATAGAGCAGCATCAGCCTGCATGCTAGTGACCGCTCAGGACACTACATGTTATAAATGTTGCCATAAACTAAGATGACTTTACAAAATACACGATCTGTCAGTTATTCAAATGTACATACATGTACATTCAGAAAGCATAACATAATCAAACATAACAGAAAAAAAAATCATACGACATTAACAACAGTCATTTATACAGACTTTTTAATTCTTCATTAGACTGTGTAATGCATGGAAAAATGCATTGTACTGGTACATGCAAGTACAATATAAATTTGATATGTATCGCAAAGTTGAATCTTTGAGCCCGTTTTAAAATATTCTACAGTATAAAAAGGATTTAAACCATTTTTCAGTTTTTTTACAGCGTAGGCTTTAATCTGACATAAAACTAATAAAGAAATGCAGCATACAGTTTATCAATAATATGCAAAACATTTTATACATGTATGGCAGTGTTAGATGTGAAGCCTTATTCAGTGATAATATTTTCACTCATTTCTGTTCGAAAATGTTTCAGTTTTTGGAAAACAGATTTCTAAAATACGCAAAGGCAATTCCATGTACAGATGGCATTTTCAGCAGTGTAACACTAGCCATATGATATGCAGTTAAATTCAAACAAATGTAAGGCACTGTTACTTGTTGGTATACGTGTACGGTGTATGCATTGAAAGAAACTTTAACAGCATACAAATGTTTGTTTTGGATCCCAATGGGATCTTTGTCCTGCATCACAATCTGGAGAAGAAACAAATTCACGAGAGCCTGCAAATTAAAATTAACAACTTCACACCGGGAGACCCAATATGGGGCACATACATGTAAGCTTTTACACAAGCTAGTAGGTATTCCTATTCTCTTCCGGAAAAATTGCAGAAGAGTCACTAAAATACTAGTACACATACGTGTACATGTACCGTACAAATGTGTGACAGTAATTTTTTACGATGATTTCCACTGTATTTGTCATTGTGTGTCTAGATTTCAAGTTGATCTGATTGAAATATTGTAATTTACATGTGAAAATCTATTTTGGTGTGTGTGTTCTATAAAAAGCTTGACAGCATGCAGTATTTTATTTATATGTAGCTTTCACGACGTAATGTGCACAGTGTGTTGTGTAATAAATGCACTTGGAAAAGCGTCATGATGTACCTACCTTACATAAACATAATATACACGTACACTGTACATGAATGTAACCATCTTGACACCCTGTGCATAACGTACATCATATTCGTTATGCACTCTCCACTTTAATCACCGGATATTTTGTCAAATTGAATATGGACAAAATTGACATGCCATTATTGTGATCTCAGAGTCATTCATTGCAAGCCTTGGACATGGATTAAAAAAAGTGTTCAGCAGACATGTATGAGGGCACAGAGTAAAGTTAAACAAGATAAACCCATCAGATGTGTGGCAAATGCAGATGCAGTGAGAGAAAAATCTTCAAGCACAATTGATGAATGGAATTTTACTTGAAGAATTTTGAAAAGGGCTTGTGCTTAGAGTTTGAGCGTGCTCTTTAGCCTGGCCCGGGGTTTCGTCTTGGTCATGTTGGTTGCAGAGTGGCTTAAGTACATGTACTTCTTGTGGGATAGGATATTGGTCATGTCTTGGTGAATGAAAAAACCGAACAAAGACATGATGAGATATGTAAGGTGTAGCCATTTGCTTCAGAGGAAGAGGCGTATGTGCCTCTGAGTTGCAAACAGCTTGATTTTCTCGCATGTGCTTGATGAATGGATCAGTGATAAGCCAGTCCTTGCCCAGTGGGGGAGGCTCTTCATCTACGGTCAAGCTATCCTGGGACGGTGATGCGTACTTTACCTTACATTCCTCAAAAGTCATGTACGGAGGACTGGGGTTACCAAACTCATTGGAGTTTTCCGAGCCATAGGGGGGAACCCGGTAGGTTGGTTCAAGACATGATTGGGCTTCCTCCTCTTCCACGGCAAAGACATCATCTTGTGATCCAAAGGCGGAGTCAGGTGGAGAAGATGGCCTGAAACAGACTGGTTCGTATGCCCCATCATCGTCTTGAATTTGCCTGTTTGGCACTTTGTGCACCTGTGATGCATGTGCATGCCCTTCTTGCTGCTGTTGTCTCAGTCCCTGTGGAACTTTGTGTGCCTGCTGATGTTTGTGTGTACGACATTTTAAATATGTGATCAAGATCAAAAGAGCAAGAATGACAAAAACGGCAGTGATTACCGCAACAACCATGGAAAGGATGACAAGGTTAAGCCCAGAGTTTTGTGACATCCTTGGTTCATCAGCTGAAATGTCGTTGCTCTTGCCTTTAAAACTTTTTACTGTGGTGATCTGGTTAAAGGGCTGTACTCCAGCTAAACTAAACTTCTCTGGAGCTGGACACAGTGAGCTTTTTGTGAGGTTACAAAGTGGATCACCGTTCAAGTGCTGAGGCCAGCCACATGTCACATTTGCTCTGAGGATATCAACACCTTCATCAGTTAGGTGATTTGTAACCCACACCCTGATGGGATCTACTGAGCATGTGCAGTTCAAATTGTCATTTTTGGCCAAGTACAACTGATCCAGTCTATTAATTTTAGCTGCCAAATCATCAATGTCATTGAGGTGATTTTCAAAAAGGTCAAATATCTTGAACTGAGGCAATATTGGGAAATTAGTTACTGAAACAATCAAATTCCCGGAGAGATTCAATTCCTCTAAGTTTTCCAGGCTTTCAAAAAGGGACCCATCAATAGATCTCAGATTGTTGTTCTCTGCATTCATGTATTTGAGTTTAGTCAATCCATGAAAAATGCCAGCAGGGAATGCCGTGAGGCCATTGTCACCCATATGCAGATATTTCAGGAGGGGTGTATTACGAAACACCAAAGCATGCAGATTGCTGATGTCGTTGTGGCCAATGTAAAGTCCACTTAGTTTATCTAAGCCAACGAAGGCATCAGGGTGCATGTATGTGATACTGTTTTGGTTAAGGAAGAGCTGTTTTAGATCAGATGCCCCTTCAAATGCTCTTCCCGTGACCTCATACAGAGAGTTAAACTGTAGGTAGATGTTTTGGAGTGAGATACACTCTTCAAAGGCTCCACTGGCGATGTTACTAATCTGGTTAAACTCAAGGTCAACATATCGTAGTGACCGATATCCTGCAAAGCTACCTGGTCCAAGGTAGGTGAGGTCATTGTTACGTAGGTCAACCATCTCTGACTGGCTGCATTCCAAGGGGACTTCAGTCAGGCCACGGTTCCTACAGTTAGCATCCAGCGCCCATGCTGTGTACTCACAGGTGACATTGCAGCTGGCATCCTGGGATGCATCTACTCTGATGACACTGAGTAGAACTATGCTAAATACCTGTGATGCCGTGAATTCCATACTTCTTGTTGGGCCACTTGAAATAGGCTTGATGAAAAAGGTAAACAAAAAAAGCTTGTCTTTACAAACTTGAAAATGCAAGGTGAAGAATAAAGGGCATTTTAAACAAGCTGATGTCCAGGGGAAAAGTTAATAAAAAAAACTTCTGTATGTGTCAGTACCTAATTATAGACTCATCTTCAGATGTTGATGAGTTGTTAATTTGGCTCCCCAAAATACAGCTGCTGTCCCAAGTACGTGCACTTTTCTAACTCCCAGTAGAACTTTTTCATAGGAAAGCGATATTTGATGGTGCACCCTAAATCGTTCTTGTTTAATGTACATGTAATATGTTAAATGGGGTTTTACCAATTTATTTGAGATAAAATTCCACCTGTTCCTTTTTTTTTCAAATGTGACTGAAAGATTTAGATTTCACATATTTTAAGTGATTCATTTAGTGTAAATGAATTTTTATTGCTTTCATTTTTCTCTCTGGTTCTTAAATTAAAAAGTTAGCCTTGCTTTCTATTCAGTATGGCCGACTTTCAAAAAAGGCCAGTAATCCCGATCTACATGTATTTACTGGTATCTGTGGGGGTACATGTACACACCTACTGATGCTGTCCCTTCATGAAGAGCCGAAGTAGACCTTTTCACTGTTGGAGACACACTTGTAGACTGAAAAGTTTACCACTGATGCAGAAATCAAGCACTGTCCGGTTGAACGAACCTGCCTGAGAAGTAGAATTCGGGTGCTGAGCAGGTTGAAAGGAACTTAAACTTGTGGAAGTAATGTGCTTTTATCGAGTCACAGTTCTTTCCAAGTTTTAGACAAGCTTCTTAGACATGTACATGTACTTTCACACAGTGAACTTTTGTACATGTATTTATATACACATGCACATGTAAAAATCATCTGTGCCTGGAGTGTGAACTCTAACAGGTTGTCCTGATTGTATCACACTGAGATGTAAAGTAATAATAATAATAATAATTGAAAATTTATAATGCACCATTTCCATAAATATGGTCAACCGCGCAGTACAAGTTAACGTAAACAATAATTAATTTAAGAAATGAAAGGATAAGGATAAATAAGGATAAATGAATGAATATCACCGCGCCAGTACCCAAACTGCAGTATGAGGATACGTCTGCCCTGCCAACAGGGAGAACCTATATAACCCTGCTGGCATCGGTGATTTCTCGATCTTTTCCGGGGACAGATGCCTCTAACCCTACCTACGATAAAAGAAAAGTAATTATACCAGACACCGTGACACTAAAATGATGAATCACAGCTACATGTAAACCTACGTTTAAATAAAAAATAATAACAACCCCACTAGATAAAATTAATAAAATCACGGATCATGCAGTGCAATATACATGTATCTCTGTACAAATGCAACATTAGAAAGGAAAGTTTTCTCTTTACATTTAAAAAGGGCAAGGCTTTGCGCACACCGTATATGCCATGGCAAGGCATTCCATAATTTAGAAGCAGCCATTACAAATGCCCTGTCACCAAGTGCAGGAAGTGTGTGTAGCGTTTTACTGTTAGGGTAACTTAACAAAGGACCGTTGCTTGTTGACACGAGATGATATCTAGACTCCTTAATGATGACAAGATTTTAAATATCTTGGAGCAAGACCATGGATAGCTGTGTATGTTAACAGGATGATTTTAAAGTTAATCCTGTACAAAACAGGTAACCAGTGCAGTTGATACAGTATTGGTGTTATGTGTTGAAACTTGTGTGTATCCGTAAGAAGTCTAGCTGCAGCATTCTGGACTCGCTGTAATCTCATTATCTGTTCTGCTGACAAACCATACAAAAGACTATTACAATAGTCCAGATGGCTGGTCACAAATGCGTGAATGGACACTGAAAGCGAATCGGGAGAGAGGAATTTACTGATGCGCCTAAAAGATTGGGAAGGTGGAAAAATGCTGCCCAACAAGCCTTAGTGATGTGGGTGTCCGATGTCATTTCTGAATCAAGCCATGATCCCAAATTCCTGACGCACGTGGGTGGAGGGATTACAGAATTGCCCGCCGTGACATTGGAAATATTTTTTTTCATTGCATGTGGTGGATGGAGGGGAAAAGGCAGGAATCCCCCCCCAAAAAAAGAAGTTGCAGCATGATGGATTTCTTCCACTGTGAAATTAGTTGTTCGAAATCAATATGAACCCCAATTCATGTATGAAGTACTCCAGTAACTTTGGATTGATTATGCATTAAATAATATTGCACTTACCTTTTTTTTTCAGTTTAACTTTTTATGTATGACTAATCCAAAAGTTGAAATTGCTGCAAAAATTGTGTCCACATTTTTATATTCATGTGGCCAAGAACTTTAATTATGTCTTTTAGAAATAATCTTAAATAGAATTATTGCATTTTAATTGTTTGTAGCATGTTTACAACAATTTGCTTTACCACAAAGAATTCCATTGAAAATTTGCATTTTATTGTTTAGTATTGTTGCCCTTCAGAAAAAAGTCACCGGTACATTTCGTTTGTCAGAAAGAACTATTTGGAAAAGCCAAAGTAGCTTTTTGAACTTTTGTGGATATTATATTAGCCTGTGCATGTTTATGGCATGTTTTTGAACATTTTACACTATAAACGTACCTTATACATGAGTTTGTTTATCTGATCCATGATTACAAGACAAACATTGGCCAGCATTATACACTTGAATAGGTACCAGTAATAGCATGAATTCCAAACAAAATAAATTTGGCGGCTAAAACATCTTATTGATCAGCTGCCAAATGCCAACTGAATTTCCCGGGCTTTGGATTGTTCAACCAATAGGGATAGGTATGTTGTGCACCTCCTCTTGAGAAATGGACTATCCCAGAACCAGTCTATGCTTACTGTACACAGTGCATGGGGAATGCAGCCAGGTCTTGCTCATTTGGGGAATTCCCTCAGTAGCTCTCTCCCAATTGGTCAATCGGTGTGTAGCTGTGCAGAAGTTTCTATAAATAGCGATTGCCACACCTTGCATTTCTCATCATTGGTTTTTCCATCGTCCATGGTTTTTATGGCCTAGACTGTGAACTCAGATAATTCACAGCCAGCTGGCATGGCACTGAAAATCCAAAATATTAGTCCCACATGATGATTAATCAGTTTGCATACATGTAGTTGTGTATGAATGTAGAAAAAGCCCCCCCCCCATACCTTGCTACATGCAAATATACTCTTTACTGGGATAATACAGGTCAATGTATCATGACCTCTTGTATTAAGACGGCACTAGATTTTCAGGGAGGTTTTTTTCAGGTGTCAGAGGTACAGTGAACAACTGTGATATCAGAAATGCACTGTTTCCTTGTTCGCCTTATTTGCAGGTGTTCCATTGGGCATGCTACATAAAGATGAAACTGTAAATCCCTGATATAAAGGTATTATAGAAACTGTTTCTAAGGGGTGCCCCTTGGTTGATTAATGGCTTGAGCTCAGAAGTAAATTTCCACTCTTATAAGCTTTGACACATACCTGTACTGAGGAATCTTGGCTCTGTGCCCTGTTTTATATTGTTATGGAATAAACATTTCATAGGTTTTGATAGAGCATGGTACCTGTACTCAATACTTTTGGGCCTATATTGTTTGAGCCCTTGGAGCCACAAACATCCATGGCAGATTTGATTGATGGGAAGCTTTGCAAGGGGAGGTAAAATAATGATTGTTTTTATCACTTGCATGGGGGGGGTACATGTACGGGCATGTTTACTCCAACACTGACATTACAGGTACAGAAAATGGAAACCACATATACATGTACAAGTAACATTGTAAATTACTCGGATTCATTTTGTCTAAAGCTTAATTGCTGTTCTGCGACCAATCCCATTTACACAGTTTCACTTTTAATAATAAAAGGTACATGTAATACACATCAGTTACATGGCACTCTACAAAGATCGCAGTGCTTTATAGCATCTGGGCCAAAGGCTGTGAAGCTACATGTGTAAAAATGTATCATACAAAACAGTAGTCCTTTGACTTTATTCAAATAATGTTGTCAAAACCTTCTCAAGCCGAAGCAGCTCCATGGTGGTTCACCGTCCTCTAGTTGCCTCTGTCTTGAATTTTTTTCCAATATTTCATCACCTAAAAATCCTGCATTTAATCAAAATACAAGTGTTATACTCTGTTGCTGCACTGGAAGCTGCTCGGTGTACGCATGCCCCCTCGGTACCTCAGGCATCATCATATTAGTTTAATCATGGACATGTGTGTCTCGCATGAAAGCAGTACATGTAGCTTAAATGCCTGTACATCTTAAAAACCATTGTTTGTAGAAAAAATTTGGTTGTACCTTCAAGGTCAGAAAACATTAGGAACTTATACATTAAGTATGAATTTAAAATAAACTTCAACTCATGACCAAAAAATGATAGCACTTTAAAAGCTGATTATACGATAAAGCATTTACGGGCAGTTTGCTGTTCAATTAGAGTTAACTATTATGGTGAAAGTAGGACAGGTACTGTACTTCAGTTGTCCTTGCATTAAGGCTTGGACTACATGTACATGTATCTGAAGTATGTACCTGGAGAGACTGGTCCACAATATCATAATTTGATCATTGATGTGCGATGTCCAGTTATTGAGAGTAATCTTTATCATCCAGTTACAATACTCTGGGGGCAATTAAAGTGCAGACAGTGTTAATAACAGAGGTACATGTACCTGTACCATGCACATACGGGTAACAACAGACATTGTCTTGGAGTGGTTATGAGCTCTTTGAGTATGGGGGCCAGAAGGGGTAGGTTGGCAGAGTTTAAAGCATGAATCATGTTGAAAGAGCACCTGACAAGGGAGGAATTTCCTGTACATGTACATTGTGTACACGTAGTACATGTATATGGTTGGTGGTTCTGCGAGGATGGTTTAGGTACATCAAAAATATGTAACTTGTGGCCGGTTACTCTCATGCAGAGGCCACTATGCTATGGCAAATGTGCGCCGCCTTTTCCTGCAAACATGCGGGTGAAAGTTTAAACATGCATTGATAAGTTGCATGTAAAGGTACGTTTGGAGAATACATGTTCATTCTCTCCATCCTCACAAATAGAATACCAGCCTCCTGCCCCCAGAAAAATGATTTGAAAATATTATTTTGTCCTATTCTGCTCTGCTGTGGACTGCATGTTCATGCACGTTGTTGGTGTGTCACATGTACTGTACCAGCAACACTCGTCTCTCTTGTTCTACACCGCAATGCCCCTGAATACATGCACATCATGGCTTACCATCTGGCAGCTGTGCTATTTCTTGTAACAACATGGTGCACCTGTGTCATTTCCATATATACGTACATGTACGTATATATGTATCATGTACATGTAGTTAGCATACAATGTACATGTACCAGTACATGCAGTTGTGTTTTGCCCCATGCTCTTATTCTATGCTCTATGATTATTGTTTATGCCATACTGCTACATGTATTTGCTCTACACATACTTTAGTTACATGTACATGTACATTTACACTCCATTTGTCCTGAAGACCTGAACTTTACACGTACATGTACTTAATTTTTTTTTTTACTTTATTCATCTCAAGGTACAAACATTTAAAGTGTACATAAAATCATGTGAGAAAATTTAGTATATTTTAGCTGTGCCACTGAGGGTGCTCCTTTGTGTGCCACACACACTGTAGACAGGTTTGTCGTCTGTCTGTACTGTATAGTGTTGCACTGGCAGGTGACAATGAGACCTGTTTCTCCATGGTGATACAAAGGAAGACCTCTACTTACCATACATGTACCTGCTCAAGATGACAGAACCTAGTGGGTAACATGAGTCATCTCTGGGTCCCTTGCCTGTGAGGCTATCCAGCTCCATGTACCTAGCAGAAAAAGACACAGACAATATTATTCTGCACACTTTTCCTGGACTTATGTTTGTATCACCACATAACTGCATGTATCATAAACAGAAAGGAAGCGTACCCGTAGGCGTACTGTATGTGTCTTGGGACATCCCATATTTTGTAAGTAGGGGTGTTCAGCATTACAATGTATGTAGTTGAGTAAAACTATACAAATGGTGACAAAAACAAAAAATAATAACAATAATTTCACATACCGGTAACAATGATGTACTTAAAAAACCCTCAGGTGTTAGGCTAGTTGGAAAGAAAATTGGGCAAAGATTTGCTGGAAGAATTCAAATCCAGAACTCATTTTAAAAGGGACAGTAAACGGTTGGATCCATCACAAAAGCAAATTCAAAAGCCAACCTTTGATGGTGGCTTTGTGGGCCCTTCCCCAGAAAGTTGGTAAAATTGTACTGCTACTGCTATTTCTGGAAAATCCCCCCTCCCCCAAAAAGAAAAAAACCTCAACATGTGCCTGAATTCTGTTGCACTCGGCATGCTCACAGCTTGTGTCAGTGTTAGATGCATTGTATGAGCAGGGCATCTAGCTAAAATACCTGGGGGCCCTAGGGTTATTGGACAGTGTCCTCTGAATAATGGCAAAATTGTTCAGTCAGTACTGGAAGAATACAATTTAGTCCCAAGTAAAATCAGTAACAATCCACTCTCGGCAGCTGGATTCTTTTGGCAGAAGGGTGATGGACTGTACGACCATTGGTCTGTTAACTGTTTGGATGTCATCAACTTCAGGAAATATGAAGTGACTTTGTGCTATCTATGGGGCAGGGGAAACTTAACTTTTGCCGGATTTTCTCCATTAACAGCTACAATTATACCTTGTAGAAAAAGTGAAATAAAACAAAGTGAATATTTAGTCACATACATACCATGTACCACCGTATGTATAATATCAAACTACCTGTGTCATGAAAACTGCATTCCACTGTCCAACCTTTGTGCTATCTCCCAAATTAGGGAGTTTTAGAATAGTGAGCCACTACTGATTACTTGTTGTTGCTCCAGAAAGTGCAGGTACAATTATAAAATGGTTTATAAAATGTTTAGCACTGTAACATTTGTCCTGTGGGCTGTAAAACGATTAATGAAATGAACCAGTTATATGTGACTATGGCTCTGCTACATACATGTACATGAACCAGCAACATGATAAACCCTTACCTGGATAACAACGATCAGGGTACTGAACAGCTACACAGGAGTTTACAGCCCATGGTACAGGATATGCTTACAGTGTTGAACTAGGTGGTACGTGATTTGGCTGGGAAGATGACGGTACAGGAGGCATTCCAGGGTCAGGTACATGTAAGCAAACTGATGCAGCAGGCTGATGGGGTGGCATGGTGGGTTGAGTTGATGGGGAAGGTTGAGGTAATGTGGAGGGCTGAGGAGGCGATGGAGAGGGCTGACTAAGAGACTGTACCAGCTGTCCCTGGATGGGTATTTATCTTCACGAAACAATCCAGGACAGACGGTTACAAGAATCATACAGTTTCGTTTTCTGAAGAATTTCTTCGACGATGTTGACTCGGTATTCTCCCAAATTGTAATTACCTAATTGACACAATGTTTTTTCTGAAGTAGCAGTGCAGAACTAGAAAACAATTGGTTGTTTTATTTTGAAATTACATTTACATCCACCCCATGCAGTCAATGTCCAAATTTGGTGCCCCCCTCCCTGGATGACATTCACATTGACAATAAAACCTATAAAAAATAGATAAGAAACGCAGAGAAGTTCAGTTTATCTTTATTATCAGTACAACTGATAATGTTAATTTATGCACAAAATTTATACAGTAAAGTGTGCAATATTCATGAAAAGACACCTCTGGAAAGGTATACACAAAATAGGCCCCAGAGCAAATAAACAGCCACATGGGGGAAATACGTAGTGGAGGATTGTGTTGCCTCATGTCATGTAATTGGAATTTTATAATTGTCTGTTTAGCGTTATCTCCATTTGATTTCTGTCTGAGTATTTCTTTTTTTAAAATGTATTACAGAAGGACTGAAAGCTTTGCTTTAGAACTACAATGTGTCCCAAAGTTCACTCTGTTAATATACAATATACATTTAGTTTCACTGTTGAAACAGTTAAATCAGAACTTTTACTGCATATTTTCAAATGACTGAAGACAGAATAAAAAAATTTGGCCCAAATATCTAATGTTGCAATTTCAAGTGCATCTATTGCACGTACATTGTACATGTATGTACATGTATGCATCCAAATGATGTTAAACTCATGACCTTTGTCTTCATCGTGTTTCTCCACTGAATGTTTCACCCGTTTATTTGCAAAAACTACACTGTATAAACTGCATATATTTTTGGCAGTTACTACACATGTATTCATAAAGAGTGTCTTGAAGTCCATCTGTCAATTCCTTCTTTCCTTATTATTAACAAATGCTGCTATGTTTACTCTTTACTGAATTTCATTCCCTTTGTAAAAGAAAATGATTGAATATTTTCTGAAGGTTGTTCAAGTTGTCTTTTCAATAACAAATCAAAATAAATTTGCATTCCAAAGTATAAACAGAATTGGCAGTGTTACTTTGAACTCTTAATATAAGAAATAATTTGATAAGAAATAGAGTTCAATAAAATGATTGAAGCGTTACACATTTAGTACGTTCTGTAATCGTATATGTAGCTCTTATTAGAAAGAGCAAATTTTGTGTTTATGCAGTGTTCAATAGCCTTAAAAAATAAAGGGATTTACATGTACCTCACAGGCAATTAAGTTTTTCCTCCCTCTAATGGCCAGCCAAAGGGCCAACCACCTCTTTTTTTATCACTTTCACAAGGGTCAAACAGGTGTATGCTTTTTCTAATCCTCCCCCTCCCATTGTCTGAAAAGAAAAGTGATTATTTTTTGCTTGCCACCACCTTCATTTTTTGTACTTCAGAAAAGCATCTATAGACCTGTTGTTTTAATTTTAGAAAGTTATCTCCATTTTGCCCGGCTGGCCAGATTTTGCAGTTCATGTACACCCTCGGTTGTGTAAAACTTTTGCCTTAAAAGAAGTGCCTATACACAGTACAACCATCACAGACATTAGGAAATTACGACTTTTCATAATCTCAACGTTCTTCTTCGGAGGGTGAGGAATCACTTCTTTGTTGATCTACATGTACTGCTGATGACCATACATGGACTGTCTGTTCTTTTCAGTTTCTCTGTCAAGACTTCATAACTTATTCAGAGAAGAATCATTGCAAATACTGGTAGATCCTCAATGAGAGCTGTTCTGCTATAGGTTGTGTTCATCAGTGTATCAGTTTCCATGAATGTAGGGAGTACATTGTAGCTTACATGTAGTTACTCATACATGCGGATCGTATCTCTTAATGCAGCATTAATTAAGCATTTGGTGAAAACACAGTATGTGGCACATACACGGAGGCTGTTTCATGCTTCTGATAAGGTCCCTCTGTAGTAGAAACAGCTTGAGTGCCCTCTGGCAGATTGCTTAAGATGTGGTTTGTGCAGACACTCTCTTGCTCTGGGGGAGTATCATCGTGTTTTGATGAGTCCATTGATGATGTCAAGGGGATCTGTGCATTCCAATCTCCTATGCTGGTGTTATATGGGTTAGCCTCATCCAGGTCGTCTGGAACAGCATTATGGTTTTGGTCCACCCACAACTGGGTTTCCTCAGACACTGCATTGAGATCATTCTGGGACCTGAAGTTGGTATTGTTTATCAGGCTGGGTCGGACAGGTTCATAAGCGCCATCATCCTGGATGCATCTGTTGGCTGTGATATGCATCATTGGTATTGTCTGTTGCCTATCATGTGGTGGTTTACGCTGTTTTGATTTAAGTGCTCGACTTTTTCCTGTGTTCCTCCAGAGCCGCCATTCCAGACACGTGATTAAAATGATCAGAAAAAGGATAAAAGTCAGAAGGGTTCCAGTCCCAGCAGCTATGTAGATGATTGTTGTATTTTCTGTTTTCTGTTGATGTGCCCTCTCTTTATCTGTATCATTTGAGAGCTTCACAGAAGTGGTTATGTACCTGCTGTGTTTGGTATGTGATGCTGGTCCAGTGTCTCTATTGTCAGTTGTAAATTCATGCATCACCAAAGTGAGTGAATGTTCAGTAATTGGCCGTGGAGAGTCAGAGCTTGGATTTGAACAAAGGGAACTCTCAGAGAGCGTATGAAGTAGTTGACCCCGTAAATGCCGTGGGTCATGACACCTCACATCTATCTTGCTGGGATCTTTGCCTGACCTGTGGATTTCAAGCCACTCACGCAGAGGATTGATGGAGCAGGTGCAAACAATATTGGGATTCTGTGCCAGATAGAAGTTTTCCAATCCAGTGATCTTTGTGGCCAAGTCACCGATGTCTCGTAAGTCATTGCCATAGAGGTCCAGTGTCCTTAGATTGGGCAGGGTTGGAAAGCTGGTTATTGAAGTCAGAGTGTTTCCGGAGAGGTTCAGTGTCTTCAGCTTCAATAACCCATTAAAAAGGAAGCCACTTATGGATTGAAGGTTGTTATTGGCCAAACTGAGGAACTGTAATTGATTCAAGCTATCAAAGATTCCAAGTGGAAGGAACTGTAGTTCATTGTCTCCAGTGTCCAGGTACTGTAGGTTATCCAAGCCACGAAAGGCACCACTATGCAAATGGGAGATATCATTCTCATTCACGTAGAGTCCAATGAGATTCGTTGCTCCTTCAAATGTCCCTTCCTGGACCTTCATCAACTGGTTTCTCTGTAAGTAGATTTTCTCAAGTGAAATACACCCCTTAAAGGCCCCTGCTGAGATATTGGAGATCTGGTTGAATGCAAGGTCTAAGTATTTCAGTCGCCTATATCTATTAAAGGTACCAGGACTCAGGTACCTGAGGCTGTTTTCCCTCAGGTCCATTGCCTCCATGAAGGGGCTGCATCCCTGAGGGACATCAGTCAAGCCTTGGTCTGTGCAGTCGACATCTTGATCCTCCTGTGCATACTGACAGACAGTGTTGCAGTTAGCATCTTGGGATGTCTGCGCTCCACTGAAGGTGATGAATTGAGATGCTAGAAGTATGGTGTTGAGACACTCCAGTATCATACTGTCAGTTGGATTGATGGAAAAGCACTTGTAAATTCAACAGACAAACCAGCGTTCAACATCAGTTTCAGTTTTGTGATGGTGCTTCGTGCATCACTTTATTCCGCTTTCATTGCTTGACCTTGCTCTGTGTTTACTGCACTATTCTGCCTCACTTACCCTGTTTTGGCCTTTTCTCAGTAATGTGTCGGCTCTGTTCTGTGCTTAATGTTGACTTTTACTGTGTTCTTCCCTGGCTGTAATCCAACGGTGTACATGTACTGAAATTTTTAGCCTTGATAAGTTAATGAGAAAGAGTATGCTCACAAAATATGCAGGTCACTGCATTTGTGCAAATGATAAAAATCTTCCAGGCCTGCCAAATCTAAAGTGTTCTACCTAACCCTGACAAGGCACCTGTTTTGTCATGGTAAGGGATCTCCAGACTTGTGCTGTGGGATGTTTTTCTCACCTTTGCTCTGTCTATTGACAGACTCTTGCCTATACTGCCATGAAGCGTGATGCAGCACAGTATTCTATTCTTTGAGAGCACATGGACATACATTTTGTAAAGTTCTGGGATTTCCCCAGGTTTTTCCTACTTTGGAATTAAGTGAAGTAGAAAAAACAGCCCAACTGAATTAAGTGTTTTCAAAACATCTTTTCAAAGTACTGGCTCACCATTGTTACCTCGTGGTTTTTGACATTGCTCTAGGTACTGCACATGGGTAATTTCAGAAATTACAGGAGTCCAAAAGTGTGACATTTTTGTGTCCCTATTATATCTGACCTGTGTTACTTGACATGGAAATGTCACCGTAATTGATTTCAAGTTACCCAGTTAACAAAATAATGTCACAGCAACGTATAAGTTGTACGTCGCAGTAACGTTACATTATAACGGCAGGGCAACATAAACGTGTGGAGTATTTTAGACGTTGTGGTGACGTTTGATAATAACGTTACAAACTGATGTCCTCACGACGTTGTGAAATAACATGTAAAGAACATTCATAAACGAGCGCACAGTTTACTTGTTAGACACTGTTCACACATTGACATTAACACAGTTTTGTGGATCACCCATAGTTTATTTTGTATTTCATTACGGGCAAGTTGATCTTTGGTTTTCAAGATGGCAAGTTGGTTTGGCATTCAGTACATGTACATGTATATACGGCTGTGGTTAAAACAAGTCAGTAACAAATTAACAACATTAAAAAACGAAAACATGTAGAAGTAAAATATTGGCACTGATTCTAAGCAATCCACTTAAGGAACTCTTTCCACTTTTTATTTGAACCCAGGCAATTAGACATAGCACTGCCCGGACAGGCAATACAATTAATTACAATTTGATAAACATACAGCCTATCAGTATATATGTATGGGCTCGATCAATTAAGTGACAAAAAAGACGTATACTAATACTAGGCCTTCTAGGCCTAGACCCTTACATGTATTAAAGTATTATGAATTGCCGAAATAACATGAATAAAATTGGAACAAACACAGCATCAAATCACATTAATGCTACAAATTGTTCTACATTTGTATACTCACCTTAAATGATGATTGGCAAAATAACTGGAGCAGTGCAGCGTGAATCGAAAGACACTAAGTACCAACCGCTGCAGCTATTTTTCCACATATGTTGTATGCATCACCACAAATCGAGAGAAACTGAGCGACAGAAGTGGGCCGAACAGCTGCAGTGGTTGGTGTCTTTTTGAATTCAAATTTACCGCATTGCGCAGACGCACAATGTTTGACTGGTTCCCTCCGTTGATTCTATCCGATGTATTTCAGACGGGAACCAATTTACTATTTTTTTTACGTATCACCGAAGTATATGAAACTGCATTCAAGTTTTCTCAACTGCGGCAATATATGGCGGTTAAATAAATTCTATAAGTTTTAAAAAAATAATAATCGAAAAACATGTAAAATTCTATATAAACATTTTTTTTGGTATACCCTGAATTATAGCCATGGGTTTGGGTATGGAGTTTTTCTAATTTATTGTAAATAAATGTTTAATTCGATATGGCTGCCAGCAATTCGAATAAAACTAAAGTTTCCTGAACGTAACAAGTTAACATTACATTCTGATGTTGTTAATCGTTCAAATAACGTCAGAAAAAAACGTTAGCAACAAAACATTTCAGCAACGTTAGGATAAAGTCATCAAAAAATATCTTCCTGACTTTGCAAAATAAGGTATAAAAATGATGTTGTGGTGACGTTGAAATAACATTAGTTGCCTGACATTAAAAGCAAACATTTAAAAGATGTTAAGATAATGTTATCGGAAAACATCTTCCAAACTTCGCAAAGTAAGGTGTAAAAATGACATTGTCGAGACGTTTAAATAATGTTAGTTGCCTGACGTTAGAAGACAAACATTTAAAAGACGTTAGCGTTTAACGTCGTCAAAAACATTTTCCCACGAAATCAAGTCAAGGTCGGAATTTGACGTTACGATAACGTCCTGATAACGTCATTGTCTAATGTGACCAAACTGTAACTTTCCAGTAGCGTTATGGTGACGTTATGTGTTTGCTGGCTATTACTATTTGTTTGGCAGGTAATTGGCATCAATTCTTCACTCTTGGAAATCAGAAAATGTGTTCTGAACTTACAAAATCATATGTCAAATTAATTCTTCACTCTTGGAAATCAGAAAATGTGTTCTGAACTTACAAAATCATATGTCAAATTAATTCTTCACTCTTGGAAATCAGAAAATGTGTTCTGAACTTACAAAATCATATGTCAAATTAATTCTTCACTCTTGGAAATCAGAAAATGTGTTCTGAACTTACAAAATCATATGTCAAATGTGACAGGGACACGAAAACAAACGGACCTCTAATTTCTGGAATTCCCCACATACATGTACTTGTGCAGTACATGTATGTGGTTACAAGTGTTTCACCATGTTTGGACTTGATCCAGGTCTGTTTTCCCCTAGTGAGTTAGTCTTCATCTCTACAAATTACTTGCAACACTCTTCTCCATTAGATAATTCAGATGAGAATAGTCAATCCAATCCAATGACTATTCATGAGCATGAGAGCTAGTTGAAGCTGAAATCTTATGTTCGCCACTCACTATCGGCCTGTACCAGCTACACTGTACACGTACCTCATTACATGCATGAGCAGAGGCTACAATATGCCTTGAACACTGTACATGAAAAGTTCAGTATTTGTATTCCAAGATTCAACAATAAACAGTCGTTTACAGGGTGCCCCAAAATGCAACACAAAGGTAAAATCCCCTTCCCCTTCCCCCTTCCCGAAATAATTGTTGGAAATTGTTGTCTTATACCAGTAGGTATCAAATGGAAGATTAGAATGCAAGTTTCAAAACTGAAGACTTCCTTGAAATTTGATGATGCATCGGGAAGATGTAATCTTGAGTATAGAAGACAGCTGCTTTTTTGTTCACACAGATTTACCACAGCATCCATATACCGTTCATGCCATTTAACACCTCTTGACAATGAGATTATTAAAGAAACAGAATGAGGATACCAAACTGAGCAGGGTTCAGTTATGTTATGTTCAATTACATGTGTGTTTAATTGGGATGCGGACACCATGACTAAAACATACATGTACCTATTAAAAATTTTCATCTGAGCAGGCAGCATTATGGTGGTGGTTAGAACAACAGATGGCAGTATAGACTATTTTAGTCGGCACATCCTTCTACCACATGTGATGTAACAACCTACATGTATTATGTTGTGTTGACTTCTACACTGTATTGAAGTACACGTTTTTAAAGAGTTTTTCTAGTAGCTTTTATGAACTACAGTATCACATATCATTGACCTGGGATTTCCCATATGGGTAAATAAAACTTCCGGATCTTAAAAATTTAATGTAGGCTGTTAGGTAACCAGTTTAGATTATAGGGAAATCTTCTGTTTTTGAATTTAAGTGGAGGTGAGGTCAGTGATCAGGAATGCTCAACTTTTGGTTTCACTTCCTTTTTTATGTTGCTAGTGCTTAAAGGAAGTGTCATCGTATAAGTATTTGTATTCATAAACAGAGGTACATGTATGTGGCAATATGCAGATAGCTTTTTATTTACATTTTTATTTTGTTATAGACATTTGCAAAATTGGCCATAGTACTAGGTGTATCACTCACAAAGTGAGATCACATGGTCAGTTTTAACCAGTCACTGTGTATGAAAAGTAATTGCTGATCACTGTAGATCTGTGGTGTGAGAGTTGCGAAAATACAGTGTACTAGTACATGTACATAGAAATGTAACATGTACAATGTACATGTGTGGCCAAAGTGTGCTGTCAAGGGACTCTTACACAGAGGTTACGTGTAATTGTCTACCATCCCTTTGGACTTATTTATTCAGAACAAATTGTCTGTGATATTTTCTTGATTTCATTGATATGGTTGTGATCTGAATTGTTGTGAAGCTTAATTTAGCACATCTAATCTAGATAGTGGTACATTGTTATAAACAATTACCCGAGTTCTTTTTTTCACAGTTGCTCTTCTGAGTACCTACATGTACATGTAGCTCTATGCCGTCATGCTACACTGTGAATAAGCCTGGATGTCTTGGAAGGAATTTTTGGGGGTCAAAATTAAAGTTTTAGTGGAATTTCAATGTCACCTCATCAATGAAAAGTGGCACTTTATAAAGCTCACCTGATTGGTTTAAAGTGCAGTCATCAATATTCATTTCACTGAACTTCATACCAGTTGATGTTTAATGACCAGTCGCTGTTAACGTGGGAGTGATCTGTCATAATCAATATTTTAAATAGTGTATGCCATGTGAGTATGACAAAGTTTTTTTCGGGCGGGTTTTTACATATAAATACAACAGAGCACTGTTTTGGCCAAAGAAAGGTGCAAATAAAAGCATTTTGGGGGAAAAAATGTTAGCTGTCTCATGGTTGGGAGATAAAAAACAATAATAGACCTAAATCTTAGAATGTGATCAGTTCTTCACAGCATGCAGAATTGATATCATATGGAATTAGCTTTAATTAAACTTTAAAGTCATGTTGTTTTTATATGCATTTAGTTCACTTTTTCAATACATGAATGTGTACATGTAATAAGGAATAAATATCCCCAAAATGAAATGTATTGTGCTAAACTGCAATTGACCAAGACCCTTTGCCTACAATTGACATACATGTGATGGATTTACTGAATCAACGATCAAGCAGAACAATGACCTTTTTAATATGTGAATATTCAAGCCCTTTTAGCTGCTTGTGAAAAGCATTTAGGCCCAGTCCCAAGACCCTTTGCCTACAATAGTGGGGTTTTTTTGGGGGGGGGCTTGTTTGTTGGGGGGGTGCAACGTATATGTATGGATATTCTTTATGACTAAATTTAGCTACAGCTCTTGGCACTGCTGTATTGATCGCAAGGAAA